TATATAACACTCTCCAATCTGTGTCTTGGCACACAGCAGACCTGCAGTGGATTCTGGTTCTATTTCTTATGGCAGATAAATTCAGGTGGGGACACTTACAGTCCACCTTATCAGAAATCTTCATGTATGGTGGCAGGGACTGTCTGTTTGTAGTGACTGTGTGTGGGAGGACCATGTTTAACTTCTGTGTGTTTAGAAAGACTCAACATAAGTCAAGTTAGAAGTCATAGAGACTTTCTGTCTACCCATGGCTTGTCTTTCTTTGTTTATTCAAAATGCAATCAACAAGGTATGGACCATACATTATTACTGTGTGTGCTGTAGGTACTGGAGTTACAGCTGTGAACAAGACACTCAATATGTCTGTACAACTAATGTGGAAACTAGAAAACAAAAAAAAGCAGTAAGACACGAGCACAAGAAAGATGATCAGGGCAGGTTAAGGGAACAGAGTGGGGAGGACTAGGCAGCTAGAGCAGTCAGGGTAAGACTTGTCTGAGGCAGGGTTAGAACATGACTGAATAAAGCAAAGAACAAAGCCTGTGATGATGTAGGGGAAGGGCATCTCAGAAGAGGAAACAATAAGCGAGAAGGTGCAGGGGTGGGGAGAAGCTGTGTGTTTGAAGAACAGACAAGTAGACTGTGAGACTTGAGCACAGTGAATGGAAATGGATTAAGTCAAAGAAGTTAAGTGCCAGGTCATCTAGGGCCTTGTGGTCCATGGCAAGCATTGTGTCTTGCTATGCTCTCCACCTCTGTAGATAAGTCTCCATGTGTGCGGAGCAGATGGCAGAAGCGTTGCTGTTGCCATGAGGGTAATGCATGTATCAGTTAGCTCTCTAGGATTATAACAAGCACCTGAGCTAACTGGCTTATAAAGAGAAAAGGTTTGTGTTGGCTTATAGTTTTGGAGGTTTCAGTCCATGGTAGGTAGACCCCACTGCTATGGGTCCTGTGGAGGCCCAGTACATCATGGTGGGAGCATGTAGCAGAAGACACCAGTTCATTTCATAGGCAGGTGGGAAAGAGAGAGTGGAAGAGACTGACATCCCACCATCTCCTTTCAGGAGCATCTCCAATGACCAAAAAGCTCCCAATAGACTCCACCTTTCACAGGTTTCTGCCACCCTGTCATAGCACCATGCTGAAGTCCAAGTGTTCAACACATGCAGTTTGGGGGACATTTAAGAGCCACACTACAGTACTGCAGAAGGAAAGATTCTGAATAAGTGAGAGATGAGACGTAGGGAACACCTGCTGAGTTGCCTGACTCAGGAGGCAGTAACAGGAGAGATGCTGCTGATGGACGTGGAGATGGGAAGGTGAGATCAGTTCCCTCCTCGGTCTTTCTTCCCACCCGAGGGAAATAAGAAGGTCATCAGCTAAGAGCAAGGAGTTGGGACAGAAGAAAGAAGATGCAAGATGGCCTCTGGGTGAGTGAGAGCAAACTGACCAGAACATAGCGTACAGTAGCATTGCCTACAGCGGGAGGACCTGCTTAAGAGAGAAAGGTTCTGTATTTTTCTCTGGTCCCATTCATCGCTGGGCACAGGTGTGCACTGGGTGGGGAGCTGGGGTTAAGAAAAGTGGGTTTCTCCCAGTGAGTAATTCGAGAAGAGCATCAGAGTGGAGGGAGAAACAAGGGATGATTAAGACTGGTGTTCTAGGCTGGGTAAGGAGGGAAGTAAGCCCACAAAGAGGATGACAAACTTCACAAATGTGGAAGGTCTAGTGGATTAAGGAACTGGGAGGGCGATTTCAATACATTCTAGTTTCAAGTGTTATTTTAAGGGAACTCACGATACTATAGATAATTCATTCACACCATACATACTGAAAAACTTTAAACTTACGATTAATTGAGCACTTACTATGTGTCAGGGACTTCGTATACTTACCACAATTCCCACAACAATCCACTAACGTTGGTAATGTTATTCTCCCCATCGAACTGAGTCTCAGAGAGGTCCAGTTACTAACACAGCTGAGAAACGGCAGAGAGGCCCACGTGATTACAAAACTTGGGATCTTAACTACTGTGTGTCACCATGTGTCAGACACTGTTGGTTTCTTGCGGTCATGACACTCAGTTGCAGGTTCTCCCTTTGATCCCAGCCTGAAAACAGGGCACCTGACCTGCCCAGTTTTAATAGCTGGGGTGGAGATGGAAGGGTCTGAAACTCTTCATTTGTGTGCAGCCTGAGTGGGGGTGTCAATCCAGGTGTCTGCCCTCCTTAGCTAAGGGGTGGACATGTTACCTAACCTTGGCCAATCAGATTCTTGCTCCAGGGACTCTAATTCTAAAGAAAGTGCTGATCAAGAAACGGAGAAAAGGAAAGAACTCATTTGTTTTGCCACCTAAATGCCCAAAGCATCATGGGTCCCTGTCTTTTTCTAAGCCTGGCTCTGCAACTTCCTATCACCGGTGAGTTAGCCAGTAGCCTGCTGGTAAACTGCAGTTCTGAAAAAATTAGCAAAATTGGTTCCTAAGATTTGCAATCCAAGAAGAAGAAAAAAAAAAAAAGACAAAGAATTGTAAAACTAAAGTGAACAATTCATTCCTTGGATGAGGATGTATTGAGCAGGGCTAGGAGGGGCAGGAGGTAGGAAAGGCACCCAGGACACAAAATTTAAGGAAGCTCTCTCTTGGGGTTGTATGAGTGCAGGGTCAGTTCTAAAAATAACTGCTTGGGTTGGACATGAGCTCAAGTGGTAGATTGCCTGCCTTGCTGCAAGTATGAAGCCCTGAGTTCAAACCTCAGTGCTGTCAAAAAAATTCTTTTAAATTAAAATAACTGCTACCAAAGAACAAAGAAGATTACTTCACTGTCACGTAAGAGTATGAAGTGAGTGTTCCAGGTTTGTAGGGAGCTTCAGGGACCTTGACACCTTCTGTGCTGTGGCTCTATCCTTCCCCAGGATATCATCACCATCACAAGGTCAAGGCTAGGACCAGCCCACAAGAAAGAGAAAGAGCAAGAGGAGGTGGACCCACTGTCTTCATGCCCTGGCCTGAGGTTTCACATACAACTCCCACTGTCAAGAACTTGTCACCCAGCTGGTCTTTGTCACAAGTGAGGTCAGGAAATAAAGCACTACTGGGCAGCCATCTTGCTATGGAAGGCTGGGCGAGGAGACATTGGTGGTAGCTAGCAAAACCCATGCTGGTCACATGAAATCCATTCTGCAACAGATTCTATTCTAAGTTATAGCAAAGGTTGCTGGGTGTAAGCATCCTGGGGGCTCAGGGTGAAGTAAACAAGCAGGATGGGGGATGTCACTGAGAAGAGGAACACCAGGATCAAGCAGTGGAAGGAGGGGAAGGCCAGAAGGATATGGCCTGGAATCTTGTGATGGGGCAGGAAGGCCCTGGGCTAGACCAAGGGGGAATTGATCTTGGATGCCCACAACACAATGGTAGACAGGATAGAATCTGGAGTGAGGAAAGCTGGATCTGAGTGCTGGTTTCTGGGTTGATCTCAGGTGTATCCTAAATCTTGCCAAGCCTTGGATTCTTCCTTTTTAAAATGACGAGGATAACAACAATATCAGCAATAATGATAATATATTAACAATAAGTAGTAAACAATGATAAAGTGATTATGAGGACCCCACAAAGCAATGATCTCTGAAAGGCTTTGGCATCCAGCAAAGACCTGTAGACCCATACCTGGTCAAAGGACCCTCAGGCCACTGCTTATTTTCCCAAATAAAGTTTTATTAAGCACAGCCACACTCTGTGTAGGTATTGTCTGCGTGGCTATCACACTAAAATAGCAAAGTAGAGTAGTTGTGACAAAGGAAGCTATGAGGCCAAAAGTATGTACTCTCTGGACCTTATGGGAAGTTTGTGACAGCTTATGCAGGGGCCTTGGCTGTGGTTGTGTCTCTGCCTCGGAAGCACCACTTTATCCACAGGTAAAATAGGGCTGATAAAAACCATCTTCAATTCTTAGATGTTTGAGGATCCAATGAAACAGTGTCTTAAAAGTAAGTGCTTTGCATACTGTGAGGTGCCATTAAAAGGTCGCCATTATTTAGTCTCTTTGCTAAGTATCAGTTTCTTTACACAATGGACAAAATGCCTACCTCTCGGTATTGTTGTAAACATCTGCTAAGGGAAATGACTGAAGCATAAACTCTGGAATCAAACTCGTAGGGTCTGGCGTCTTGCTCTGCGTATTTCCAGCTGTATGGCCGTGGGTCCTCTCGGAGCCTCAGTCTCTCCATCTGTAACAAGGGCATCTGCGTACTGCCTACATCACCGGCTTGCTGTGAGCACTGAGGGAGACAGCAGGAGTGAGTCCTTGGCGCAGTGCCCGGCCTCTTAGATCCGCAGGTGCTGTGACGAATGCCACCTCCCACGGATCCCTACCAATAGCACAGCTGAGCTGTACCCCTCTGCCTCTGCTCAGCGCCCACGGTCAGCCCTGGGTGCCGGTATAATTAGCTCCATCTAGGTAGTGAGCAGCCACGGCTGCTTACAGCCTCTGACACGACTGTCACCTCCTACTCAGTTCCCTAAACCAGTTATCCCCACTGCAGAGTGTGCGCGTGAGATGCCCACTGAGCAGAGTTGAGTGCCACAAACTCGGATGTGTCGCAAGGATTCAGAACCTTTTCCTTCACTCTTGTGCTGTGCACCCCCCAAAAAAAAAGGAAGAAAAAAAAGGGGGGAAGTTTGCGGCAGGGGGGGGAGATGCTCTTGCATTTGCTGGGAAATTGCTTTTCTCAAGGCCCGGTAGCCCGAGGGAAAAAGGCATCCTGTTTCTTTAAGAGGCCTCCACTAGCGGGGCGGGGACCACCGGCATCCTCCACCCCCACCCCCACCCCCTATCCGGCGCCGGCAGCTGGGCCCGCCCCTTTTTAAGTGACGGACAAATAACCCAATTGAAGAAAGAGAATTCAGAGCGACGGGGAAACATAGCAATGGGAGCCCAAGCCGGTCTCCGCGGGGCGGGACCCTAAGAAGGCGGGGCGGGCCGGTCGGAAGCTGGTGGATCCAGGGCTGCAAGACCCGGGCGCGGGAGCTGGGCCTAGGTCGGCACCCGGGTGAGTAAGAGGCGCGAGGGCGGAAGAGAGAGAGAGACCCGCCAGAGGGGCGTGGGAGGGGAGGCCGGGACGGGGCCTGAGGCTGCTGCCCTCCGCTGGGAGGCCGGAGAGAGTGGGCTTGGGTTGGACCGCGCCGGTTCTTCAGGCCTTCGGGGGTCGCGCCCTGGAGGGGCCCGCCGGGTCGGAGGGGAGACTTGATTCTGGACCGGAAAGGGATGCGAGAGGTGAAGGGGGCCGCGGGGAGTCGGGGCTGGGCCGGGCCGCAGTCCGAGGAGGTGGAGGGAGGATGGAGCCGCGGGAGTGGAAGAAGCGGGGGAGGGGCTTGGAGACAAGTCGGAAGCCCGGGTCGTGCGCGGCCGCGTCCCTTTCCCCGGTGCATCACCCGCCCGCGGATCCCGCTCAGTAGCCTCCCTCCATCTGCTTTCCATCTCCACCGCTTCCCCCTCAATTCGGGCCCCCTCGCTTCTTGCCTGGGCAGTTGCATTGTCCTGACTGGTCTGTCCAGGGCACTGGGTCCACCCTCCCGACGGCCCACACCGTGCCCAGACAGGTCTATTCAAAATGCAGATGATTCGGACACGGGCTTAAAATCGGCCATTTTCCACGAACCCTTGCAGGGTCAGCTCACCCAGGCCCTGGAGATCTGATCCCACCGACCTTTTCCCTTGTGTCAGTCCCGCCTACTCAGTGTCACCCCACTAGGCCTTTTTCTGTTCCTTAGACATCCTCTCGCCTTCCTTACAACTTTTGACTTAGGGTTCCTTCTCCCTGGCTTATTCTAATAAACTCCTGTTCATCCTCCAGATCCCCTCCACCCTACTCAAGTATCACTTCCTCAGGGAGGCTCTCCTGGTCCCTGCCCCCCAACCAAGTCAGTGTCCTGCTTTCAACACCCTGTGTTCTTCACACTTGCACAGCTGTAGTGTTACATCCGTTTAAGAAAGTGCTAATGGCTAGGGGTGTACTCAGTGGCATAGCACTTGCCTAGCATGCACAAGGCCCTGGGTTCATCTCCAGCGCTAAAGAAAAAAGGATAAAAAAGAAATACTGATGTCTGTCTGTGCTACCAGATAGCAGGATTGACAAGGAAAAAGACTGTGACTGGTTTTGCTCCTTGTATCTCCAGCATCACACACAAGGACAGGCACTATAAATATGTTCCAAATCCGTGATCAGAGGACTTGGATTTGTCAAAAGGAAGTGGGTGTGAATTGCAGTCAGTGATGTCCTACCTGTATGAGAAGGAAAACAACACCTGGGATGTTTTTTGTGCTGCTAATCTGTTGCCATTCAATAGAAAATTAATGCAAGCTGGGGCCAGGTGTGTTGATACATGCCTGTAATCCCAACTATGCAGGAGGCATAGGTAGGTGCAGAGGCATAGGTGGGAGAATTGTGGTCTGAGGCCAGTTCAGATAAAAAGCATGAGACCTACCTGAAAAATAAACTAAAGCTAAAAAGACTGAGGATGTGACTTAAGCTCTGAGTTCAAACTCCAGTACCTCCAAAACTGTAAATAAATTATGCAGGTTATATATGTCATTTTAAATTTTCTAGCAGCCACATTAAAAAAAATGAAAAGAAACAGGTAAAATTAAATTTAATCATGTATTTTATTTAACCCAATATATTCTAAAATGTTACATTTGCAACATTAATATGAAGTAATTTTAGTGGAATATTTTCATTGTGTTAGTTCTTTGAAATCTGATGTGTATTTTGCACTTAGGACAGCCCATCTCACTTTGTAGTAGCACGATTGCCATCTTTCAAGAGCTCCATAGCCACATGGTTAGGGGCTGCTGCACATGTTATAAACTGGATAGTGTTTAATTCCCTTAAGAGTCTTTTGAAGGAACTGTTGTTACTGATAAAAGTAATGAAGCACCCAAAAGTTATTACCTATGAGTAGAGAAGGTGGGACTAGGACTTCCATCTGTTAATCTTGAGTTAGTCATTCTTTTTATACTTGATGCTGTTTCTAAGAGGTGCCAAGGAAGTTTGGGTGTATAGGAAGTGGGGACCAGTCTTCCAGTAGCACTGATAAATAGCATGTTCTAGCTTGTTTCATGCCTAGATAATATCTGATGTAACAGTACTGCCTGCTTTGGTGGCTGACAAGCAAGTATATCTGCTGCAGTTGAAGAAATACCTGCACTGAGTGTGGCAGCATATACCTGTAGTTCCAGCACACAAGAGGCTGAGGCAGGAGGATCTCTTTATTCCAGGAGTTCATGACCAGCCTGGACAACATGGCAACACCCTGTCTCAAAAAAGAAAAACTTACAAGTCAATCCTTCTCTGACCCAGTCACATATCCCTCAGCCCAGCTGCACAAACTCAATCTGGTCTGAGTCTGGATAGAAACCCTCTCGCACCCTGCAGTATCTCAGAAAACAGCTGGCAGCTTGTTTTCAGTCTGTTCAGAGTCACTCACTGAGTATCTGTCACAAATGAGGCCTACACTGTTCTAGGCCAAGGGAGGTGAATGGGCAGTCACCGCCGTCATCTTCGGTATGCTTACCCATTTAGTCGTAAAGACAAGACTAAAATGGCTAGAGGATGTGCAAGACAGCACGCCGTATGGTGAAGAACCAGAGGCAGTTGTATGCCAGAGACTGCAAAGTGGTGTCTTGGCCAAGCTGCATGATGTATTTTTTAAAATGTTGGAATTGAATTCTTTTAGGCAAGGTAGTACTTTGCAGTGTGCCCACTCCTTCGTGGAGGCTGCTTGGTTAACGCATGGAGTTAACGCATTTGAATTTGAAACTCCATTGGCATGCTGATTTAACCTGAGTCACTTGAAAAGTTTTGTCAAGCACCTATTACGTGCCAGTCATTGTGTTGTCCTGCTATGGAACTGAACTAAAACTGCAAAGTTCTCCACAAGAATAGTGATAATTATTGTAGAACAGCACCAACAAATGCCTTGCCTTTTATACTGACTTCCTCCTAGATTGCTCTCACATACATTCTCATTGTCAACAGTGTATCACAGCCTGGCACATAGGGCTTTTTTATGCTGGGAAATGTGGTAGTAGTGTTTTTGCAGTTTCTTCAAGTTCACAGAGTGCTGCTTACTCTGTGCTGGGTATGATGCTTTCCATGTAGTATCCCCTTTAGCATTCACACAACTTTACAAGGTAGGGCTGATTCTAATCCCTGTTTCACACATAAGAAAGTGGTTAGTGGGATCCAAATCCAGGTCTGTCCCACTCTAGAACAAAGCTCCTAATTATTAAGCTAATTGTACAGCTTCACAGAAGGTCAAGTTGGAAGAGACTTGAAAACATTAGTCAAACTCCTGCATGTGGATCCAGTCCAGAGAGGCTAATGTTTGTGCAAAGCTGTGCTGCAGGGGACAACTATCAGAAGTGGGGCCTGGCTCTTTTGTCCCTAAGTCATAGTATGGGATGGCCTTGTCAGTTCCTCTGGGTCTGAGTTCCCTTCTTCATAAAATGAGAGAGAACTTGGCCTAATTTTATGAGAACAATGCTGAGTTGTTATGGACACTTGGAGGAGTCAGGCCCATAGCCTGGGGTTTCAGTCATTACCCATGCCTCATCTCAGCCTACCATGCCCCACCCTGCCTGCACTTTTTCTCCCTGTGCAACCATGGTGATCTGTTGTGATCTGTCGATGGGAAACAGTTTTCTTAAAGTCCATCAGTATTTTCTCTCTGTTTATTTCTTCTCATTTCCAAAACAGGGAGGGAAGTGATCTATAAGCATTGCCCCCTATAAATCTATTGTCTGGGTTATTGTAGTTAGGAATTTGGAAAGTTCTAGTAATGGATATCCTGTCATTAGTGGTTTATTCTCTTTTAAAGACAAATCTGGGTTGGGGTGTGGCTCAAGTACAAGCCCTGAGTTCAAATCCCAGTACCATCAGAAAAAAAAAATAAGTGCAGTGCCTTTCACTTGATAGGTACTCAACAAATCACTTAGCTGGGGGCATGGCTTAAGTAGTAGAGCACCTGCCTAGAAAGTGTAAGGCCCTGATTTCCAGTCCCAGTACTGAAAAAAAAAAATTGAGGGGCAGTCTGGAATATATTTTTGGTGTGGAATTCTGTAGACACAGCTCTGCCCAGGTGACTCAGGTGATGATGAGGGGGTCATAGATGTGGGCTTCAGAGGCCTTGGCTACAGGTTGCTCACTCTCCTGGAACATGAGGCTTAACCACAGTCCCCATTAAAGTCATCTAGGGGAGGTTTTAAGGACCTGGCTAGCCAGTGGTAATGCATAACAAGAGAGGAGAACCACTGGCCTAGAGCCTGCTTCCCAGACCTTAGCACACATGGGAACCACCATGGGGCCACCCCTGAGGACAGATTCTGATCCAGAGGGTCTGCTTCTGCATTAGTGCCAGCTCCCAGGAATGCCCTGTGCTGCTGGTGTGGAGGTCATAGTCCAGTAGACAGGGGAGAGACTACACAGACAGAATTACAGAATCTGCGGAAATGTGAAGGTGTTTATAAAAGGACCAGCAGCACAAACAAGGGCACAACTGAGTTTACCTGAAGTAAGGATTAGGAAGCCACAAAGAAGAGTATCTGGGCCACTGAGCTGGGCCTTAGAAATTGAGCAGAAGTTTGCCAGTTGGACAAGCACTCTGATGAATAACACAAGCGAAGGTATAAACTCGGAAGAGAGCCCAGGTAGTGTAGTGAGTATGAAAGCCAGTTCCTTCCAAAAAGCCACCCTAAGTTGGATGCTCCATTGTTATCTGAGTAGAGCAATGCCCCTGAGGGTTCTGTGGGGTGAGAGAAGTCCAGGGTGAAAGAAGCCCAACGGAACTGGGTTCCCATACCCTTCCTCACCACGCTTTCTTTGTGCAAGTTAGTGGCTTTTCCCCTATTTGATCGAGTTAATATAAACACAAAAAAAGACTCTTAGCTGCTTGCTCTTGGTCGGTGGACCTCTCCTGGAGGCTGTTAGAATCTGAACTTCTGCACACAGAATTCCCCCTTTTGCACCTCAGCACCTCACCCTTATTCAATGGGTGAGCTGAGGGAAGTTGAGTCACTTCTCCTATGCGAAGATTGCAGAGGGGGAAGCCTCTGCTGAGATTGTGTTCTTGATTAGAAAGAGGGTGTGACCTCTAGCTACTTTCCTGCCAGGTTGCATTCTGTTGCAGGAAATTTAAACCAAATTTGCCCATACCTCCCCCACTGAATCACACGCAAAAGGACAGAACAGAAAGCACAAGTCATCCTTACCCTTGAAAGAGTGGGGGAGGAGGAGCTGGAAACCTTCTAGCATTCTCCATCCCAGTTCCTTCTGGAAGGGGATCCTCTTCCCTTTCTCCCTAAGATGGGCTTTTCAAGCCTGTGGCAGATTCAGCTCCATGGGACTTTTCCTAATGCTGCTGGCTTTATAAGTGCACCTTCCAGAAGCCACTTAAAGATGCTCCACTGGAGTCCCTGCTCTTCCTATTGTTCTCTTGTTCCCTTTAGTTCTAGTGCCTTAGATCTGTGTGGGCCTTTCTTCTGTCTTATGGCCTGCATGTTCCAAACCATCTTGATACCTGTATCTATAGTGCTGTAGAGAAGGTGGGAAAGGGCTGAGGGTGTAACTCAGGGGAGGCTTGCCTAGCATGACTGTCAATAAATAACTAAAGTGGGAGGGAGAGGGTTGAGAGTTGTTGGTTGGGGGAGGAGAGGGTGGGCTGGATGTGGAGCTATAGCTCTCTTATCCTGGCCTTTTGATATTGGACTACAGTTCTGAGTGGTGAAGCAAGAGGCTATTTATAACCCTGAGAATTTTACAATGTTATTCAGTTGCTTTAACCTAATTTCCACTTCCTTTCTAAAATGAAAATAAAGAGAGTAAGCAAACACGTGCTAGAAGGGTTCCCTACAAGGAACTTCTTTATCCTGGGAATACTAATTATCTGGGTAATATTACTCTATTCTCCTATCTCCTAATGTTCCCATAGACAAAAAAGTAGAAGAGATGCTTTTCCCCCTGTTAACTGGAGTCAGGAGTGCTGGGTGTGACTCCCATTAAGATTTATTTTACCTTATACTTGCAAAGTTATAAACATGGCAACACTGTGTAATTGGAAGGTGGTGAGACATAGAGGGAACAGTAGACAACCTAAGCAATTCCTGCCTCCCTACTCATTAGGAGCTGATCCTCGTTTATAGGAGTAGAAGAGGTACCCCTAAGCAGACATGGGTACTTCCTGAGCCTGTATGCCAGGTGCCATGCTAGGCCATAAAGCCACAGGGCTGTACCTGCCCTGGAGGAGGAGCTAGTGAAGAGCAGTGTGTAATTGTGTAACTATAGTGGAGTTTGACAAGATCCTTAATAGAATTGTGGGCAGAATGAGCTGAGAACACAGGGGCCTCTGGGTTACTTAGTTTTGCTAGGGAGACATGGAGAAAGCTAAGAATGGTACAGAAAGGAAGGGAACATCTGAGCTGGGCTTTGAAGCTCTCTGATAGTTAATATAAGGGAAAGAATGCACAAAGATACAAAAGAGATGAAAGAACTTGCTGATAACCTCAGCATTTGGAGGTTGAGGCAGGAGAATTGTGAGTTCAAGGCCAGCCTGTGTTAAATAGTAAGACCCTGTCTCATAAAATGGAATAAATGAAAGGCCACAGCCTGCTCATAGAAATAGCAGGTGGTTTGGGGAACAGTCTGGTTAGATTGCAGACTGAATACCATGGAAGGAAGTGTGGCTCATCTTTAGACCATGGAGGACTGTTTTCTGTTGCAGCAGTGATCCCTTGCTAAGTAGGTCTCTTAGTGTCACTGCTTTAGCTTTATATACACAAACCAAAAATCTCCACAGATCACCTGCTGTGACTCAGGTACAGAGATACATGTTCTTACATAGGTTTTCAATAACACCAGACCACTGGGATCAAATTCTGGCTGTGGCACCTACCAGCTATGTGACTCTGAGAGTGCTTTTCTGTGCCTCCACTTTCTTGTCTATAAAGTAGGGATAATAATATGCTACAAAGGAAGCCACTCTACAGAAAGAATCCAGAAGTATATAGCCAAGTTGAGGCCAGAAACCAGGAAAAGACAGAAAAAGCCACTGCCTGACAACCTTCCAGATTCCATGGTTACACATCTTATGCTCAGGCTACCTGAGCAACCACATGGGGTTGCTGTGTAAATGAAGTGAGTTAATACATGTACATCCCTTAGATTGTACTTTAGCTAGTGTGATGATTAATTATCATCATCATCATCGATGGGAAGACTTTGTGGAGGAAAGAACTAAACTTGGTGTCAGGACCTAACCTTGAGACCTAGTGCTGATATGGTTGATTGGTTTCCTTCCTTCTTTCCTTTGAGAGAATGGATGTAGAAGGAGCTGTATGGATGTGTTTCTCAACCCATGTGATCTTCACTTGCCATACCTGTAAAACAGGAATGTTTTTCAGGATTCTTGTGGTCATCAATTGTAAAATGCCACAGAAGCGAGTAATAAACTGCAGAGGCTATCTGCATGTTGTAGGTAATATAAGGACATAGTCACCATAGAAGTGGTCTATTTTAAGCAAACCAGACTTCTCTAAGTGAGCTTTGCTCTCATTAATTCAGCCAGTGTTAATTAAGTGCCTACTCAGTATCATCACCTTAGGCCAGTGATACTGCTGTCTGCTCTGACCTCCATTATAGAGCTCCTTCAGAGCTCAGGGTCCATCCTTGGTCTTAGACTTTTTAACTGCAATGAACAGAAATGCACACTCATGTAATTTAAAAGAGTTTCAGTGGCAGAATACAGGGGAATTTCAGGTAGCCGGAGCATAAGAAGTGTAGCCATGGAATCTGGAAACTTGTCAGGCAGTGGCTTTTTCTGTCTGTTCCTGGTTTCTGGCCTCAACTTGGCTATATACTTCTGGATTCTTTCTGTAGAGTGGCTTCCTTTGCAAGACTGGTTTTTGCTTCTCCATATTCTTAGCTTGTGAGTGGCTTTGACTTGCCATGGTACTTGCTCTGAAGCTATGACCTTACTGTTCCAGCACCCATTATCACTGAGCTTTCTTAGTGTGCATCTTTTAAGTTCCAGAGAAAGAATTAGATTAGTCCAACTAAAGTCAGGTGTTCACTTCGGTTCTATCAACTATGGCAGGGTTGGGGAGAGTGTCATTCAGCATGCATAGACTGCGTAGGCTTTGTGGGAAAGGACAAGTTTCTGAGCATGAAATTAATATTAATAATATTAATTATATTAATATTGTCTGAATAATCCAGGTAGTTTAAAATGAGTTCATATCCATTTTGGGAATAGTCAAGAATCACTCAGGGTTAGTTTTAATAATGACATGTCAACCTAGGGCAAATCCTATGGGGTCAAAAAAAGTAATAACTATAAAGTGATAAACTTTAGGTTGTTTATCTCCAAAGATAGTATTCAGAAAGGAATTTTTTAAAATATGGTTTGTTTCTTAGCACCATTGAACAGAATAAGGGTTCCACTTCTTTGAGAACCTTTAAAAAAGTCATCCTTAGTTGAACTTTTTTTAAAAAGTTAGAATCAGGAACTTAAGACTCAAAAGGCACCAAGACACACTTCAGATGTGCACTCTCATCTTAACAGCAGAGGACAGAGACGTGGGTAGAGGGATCTGTACACATGGTGATGGAACTAGATTAGGTTGAGTCCCTGGGCCAAACGGAGCCCTGCTCAGAGGCCAGAAGAGCACTGGCCATCGGCTCTAAGTTGTCCCTCCTTTACCATGCACCAGTTGCTTTCTCAGCAGGGAGAATCCCCCCAGCCCCACACTCTTTCTACTAAACCTACTGCCTGCTTACTTTAAAAAGAAGAGGCCACCAAACTCAGTAACAAATGGTCTAGAAATCCATTTATGTGAAGTACAAAAACAGGCATAACTCCTCAGTGGTGAGGAGGTCAGAAAGAGGTTGCTCATGAAAGGACTAAAGGACCAGATGAGGGCCTTTTCTGGAGTGGTGGAAATGTTCACTGTCTTATTGGGTGGTGGTTGCAGGGAGAAGGGTGTGTGTGTATGTGTGTGTGTGTGTGTGTGTTGATTTTGTATTACATGTTTATACACACATGTACACTTTATACACACACACTTAAGCTTGATGCACTTTATTGTATATAATTTCCTCCCCTTTCTTAGAAATTATCTCAGCAATCCTACTTCCTAATTACAGCAAAGTCCCCAGTAAGGATCGGATGCCTGCCATGCATCCAAAGTCATGTATCATCCCTGGCATGAGAACTCCCTGCCGCTCCATCATGGAGCTGAGCATTTCTCCAGAAGTTACACTCATAGGTCAGTTTCTCCATGGAGGTTTGTTGTGGCAATAAAAATTTCAACATGAAAAATTCTGCCTGGAGCTGTAGAAGTTGTGGAAGCCATAGGACCATCAGGCCAGCCTGCTTCAGTCCCTTTCGGCTTGATGTTGCTGCAGTGGACAAGAATTGAGACCTGCTCAATGGAGAGGGAAGAGCAGCAGCCAAAGTCAGCTCCAAGTTTTGTTCCCCCATTAGCACTGACTAGCTGGGTACTCGTGACACTTAACCAAGCTCTGAGCCTCACTATTGTCTTCTTCAAGTTGGGGAGAGAGTCCTGTTCTGCCTCCCTCATTCGCTCAGCAGAATGAGGGAATGCACTTTGAAAACCAGTTCTTTTACATAGTTATGTTCTGAAAACATTGCTGTTTTTGATAGTTGATTTCTAAAGCAGCTTACCCTGATCAGGAAATGGCCACGAAAGCTTCCTTATTTCTGAGGCCTGTGGGTATATAGGAAATGAACTTTACTCCCTTTTCACCAGAGAGGTTTGCACCCACCAGGCTGTGAGAACTGACATCTGTTTGGACTGAAAAATTAATAGCATTTACGATTAACAGCTTAGTAACAGCCATACCACACATGTCAGAAGAGGCAGGCGGTCTCCATTAGTGAGGCACGAATTGCAAGTGGGTGAACTTGAGGATGCAGAAAGGTCTTTTTCATTAAGAGAGTGGCTGCTTCTGAACCTGTAGGCAAGGAGTGTAAATACACATTGAAATATCCATCAGCAGAGGGACTTCCTTCATCAGGCCTTGGAGAGAGAGTGCTTTAGCTACTGCGTGGAATACCACTAAGCAATCAGAGTTGCCTAGGATACCAGTCACGTGGGCCCATCTCCCAGACTTGCTCAAAATGATTTATTTCCCTTTATTTTGGAGAGGAATGGGAGGAGGGGAGGTCAGAGTTACTTTCACAGCCTTGTCCTACAGAGGAGTCCTTGTGTGAGAGTAACTTGAGTGCCATACTACGTTTGAGCCCTCAGCAGCCCTTGTCCTTGTCAATAGGACAAGGGAAAATAGCATTTCCTCTTCCAGTTTTCTTCCCCATTTTCTGAACTATGCATCACCCAACAGAGAGGAGGCTCCACATTGTGTCCTTTGAGAGTGAAGGATTTGTACTGATGAGAAGGAGGCGAGACAGTGTTTGGCTGGGCCCCGCTGACACTGGCTCTTCTGAGGGTGACTGCTGAGCAGTAGCCTGGCTTCTTCATTTAACCACTCAGCCAAGAAAAGACTGTCTACTCTTGTCTGTCTCCGAGCATGTGCTTCTCCCCTCCAAGGTCCCAAGGCAGGAATTTGCAGTAAATGTGCTCTTCCACCCCTAAGTCCTTTTGAGCCCTAAACTGAAGTGTCACTCTAGCAGATCTTACAGCTGGTTGAGCTGTAGATGATAGATAGGTTAGTCCCATTTGTACTTGCTGATTTAATCTAAAGAGACATCAGCCCCAGGGAGAGGCTGGGTTATGATCTAGAAAAATTCACACCAAGTTGTTCCATGTGTTACTTTAAACACTGTCTTTAGACTCTCCAAAATAGATAACAAGAGTGAAATGAAGGCATGCGTTGTGACTTTCTCCTTCTTGATTCTTCCTCCCCAGGCAGCTGGATTCTGTATATGTGACTTGGAGAAGTAGGATCCACCAGGAACCATGCCACCACCATCTGACATTGTCAAAGTGGCCATTGAGTGGCCAGGTGCTAATGCCCAGCTCCTTGAAATCGACCAGGTATGCTCCTGAGATGAGATGCAGTGCTATAAGGAGAGGGGTCTGGGGTTCCTGGCAGAGGATGTCTTTAAGTATGGGACAGGAAGAAGCCGAGTTTTGGGCTTGGCCCACTGCAGGGAAAGGGGGGTCACTGTGGTCAGGAAAGGACTCCACAAAAGCTGTGAGGAAAGAATACCATTCCTGTGCCCCAGTTTGACTTGCTGGCAGCCCTCATCAGAACCTGGCATGAGTAGTATGTGGTTGCTGATGACGGATCTTTCTCTTTCTCTGTCTTTCAGAAACGGCCCCTGGCATCCATCATCAAGGAAGTTTGTGATGGGTAGGTTGAAGCTGACCTTGTTTTCAACAATGGCAGCTAAGACTGAGGGAGGCTGCCAGACCTCAGAGGGCCCTCTGTGAAGGATCTCCAGTTGGGCGATTCCCCTGTGTGGGGCTCTTGTGGTCATTGTCTTCCAAGGAAGGACAGCTGTGAGGATGTCCATGAGACCTCCTATGAATCTTCATTTGCTCTAAGTCCAGGAGTGCCCTCCATAAGGTCCTGGTAGGATCCAAAAGCCACCTTCCACAGCATGTACCTCAACCTTCACCAAAGTCTGAGGAGGGTATTTTTCAGCATCTTACTCTAAAGCTATAATACTTGAAACAGGCCACTTCATCCCTTGAGCACCTCTGTTGAAAATTACTTTCACTCCGTATACTGTTTTCTGTGACACAGGTGGTCATTGCCAAACCCGGAGTACTACACACTCCGATATGCAGATGGTCCCCAGCTCTACATCACTGAACAGGTGAGTGTTGGGTGCACCAAGAATGCTGCAGGCACTACTTTAGCGTACTCAGTGTCCAGGTAGCTCTGTTTCTTGGGTGAAAAGCTGATCCCTGGACAGAGTAGAGAATGCCAGCCATGTTCTCCTCAAGGTGGCTTTTACTTTCTGAGAGCATCTTAGAAGTTCTTTGCCAAGAAACAAGCAGGAGAAGAAGACCCAGCTGGGGAACCTCATTTTTAGTTACAGTTGTCCCTTGGTGTCCATGTTAGATGGCTTACAGTACCTAGTAAAATGGAAATGCTGTTTAAACACTTGTTTTACTGTATTGTTTAGGGAATAGTGGCAAGAAAAAAAGTCTGAAATGTTCAAAAGTAATTTTTCCCCACAAATATTTTCAGTTTGCCCTTGGTTGAATTATCCATGGAGTGGAACATGAAAAGAGGGAGAGTCAATTATACTTTAAAAAAGGCCAAAAGTTCTTGTTGGTTCTGCTTTTTGTACTATTTTAATATTTTATCTTCGCTGTTTTTTGCTGTTTTGTTTTTCTCTTTGCTATCCAGACGCGAAGTGACATTAAGAATGGGACGATCTTACAGCTGGCTATCTCCCCGGTAGGTACTCTTCCTTCCTGGGGAATTCATTAATTTAAGAAACATAGATGGGAACCTACCATGAGCCAGTCTGCGTTCTAAAAACCAGAACTATGGAGATTAAAAAGTAAGTCTTACTCTCACAACCTAGTTAGCAGCAAATAAGCAAGTGCAATATGAGGTCTCTCTCTGGGGTTTTGAGAGGAAGTTGGTTAGGGAACTGTAGGAACTCAAGAGTGGGACCACCTTCCTCAGCCTTGGTTGTTCCAGAAAGCCTTGCCAGAAAGGGGGAATACTTATCGCAGATGCTAAAGGGTGAGCTGGAATAAGAGCTGGAGAAAGAAAAAAAATGAGAGGTTTCTCAGCAGGGAAATCATGATGTGCCATGAGGCAGAGGTGCAGAATGTATGGGAAGGTGGGAGTGCTAGCTGGCCGCAGAGCTTTGGCAGGCCTTGGGAAGCTAGGTGCTGATGGCTTCTGTTTAGACTTTATCCAGAGGGAACAGGTGTCAAGCAGGAAGGTGCATTCTGTTTACATTTAAGTGTTAGATCACGTTCATGGCAGTGTGGAAGGTGGGCTAAAAGAAGGAAGGCTGGTGGATGGAGGAGCCTTCAGAAGGCTTATGAGGAATGTTAATCAGTGAAGGGAGGTGGCAGTGACAAAGGACGGACATGATGAATCCTCAGAAGACAGCTCTGATGAATATGGTGAAATAGTAGAGCTGGAAGGCAAAGGGAGAATTCAAGACGACCCCCTATTTTCTACACAAGCAACTCAAAGGTAACAACCAGAAAGATAGAAAGAAAAACAGGATCTAGGTACAGTGGCACAGCCTGGAATCCCAGGACTCAGGAGGCTAAAGCAGGAGAATCGAAAGTTTGAAGCCTGTCTGGGCTACATGGCGAGACTCTGTCTCAATCAAAGGAAAAAGAAAGGGAGGGAGGAAGGAAGGAGACAGAGAGAGGGAAGGAGGAAAGGTAGGGTTGAGAGAGGAAGGAAGAAAGTAAGGCACGTAGAGGCAGGAAGTAAAGAGCAGTGTCTCTGGAACTGAAGGCAGAGAGCTTGGATGGAGGACGTGTGGTCTGCAGCTTGTAATGAGTGGAGAGGGAAGGTAAACTGAGAACCTAAAAGGAAGGCAAGAACCCCTGGGGATTTCCACAAAACTAGCTCTGGTGGGGAGAGTGGGAAGCCAGATGGCAATGAATTGAATAACAGAAATGTAAAAAGTGACAACCTTGAGTCTGTTATGCTATCAAGAGATCTGGTTTTAAAAGGAAATAAACTGAGAAGGCAGTAACTCAGGGGATAGGCAGTAAAAAAAAAAAAATGCTTTTTAAAATAGGTGAAATAAGCTGGGTGTGGTAGCTTTGTAATTCTAGCTGCTTGGGAGGCAGAGATCGGGAGGATTGCAGTACAAGGCCAGCCTGGGCAAAAAATTCACAAGACCCCATCCCAACCAAGGCTGGGCACAAAATCTCAACTACTCAGGAGGCATTGACCAGGAGGACTGAGGCTCAAGGCTGTGGGGGAAGAAAGTTAACAAGACCCCATCTCAACAAACAGGCTGGGCATGGTATCATATCTGTAATCCCAGCTACAGACTGGTGTAGGTAGGAGGATCATGGTCAGAGGCTAGCCCTGGGCAAAAAGCACAAGATACTATCTGAAAAGTAACTAAAGGGGCTGGGGGCATGGCCCAAGTGGTAGAACTCTTGCCTTGCAAATATGAGGCCCTATGTTCAAACTCCTGTACCATCAAAAAAATAAATGAGTAAAATAAAAACACTGTCTTTTGAAAATTGTGAAGTTTGACAGAAATCTAGTGAAAGGTCTCCTGTCCCCATTTACCCAGTTTTCCACCTCTCTGATCCTTCACAGTTACTCATTTCTGGTGAAATTTTGTGTGTGTCCTCATGATTGGGAGAGGGGAAGGTTGGAGGTGCAGGAAGGTGATTAATAAATAGAACAGAGCCTTCCTGGGTCAGGGCAGGGAGGACCAGTGGAGGAGATCACTTCAACTGCCAGGCCTGTGGGAAAGACAATCAACAAGGTGCAGCTTTACTCACATTTGTAGAAAAGCTGCCAGTCATTGAGGGCAGGGCAGCACCTATTTTCTTAGCAAAGGAGAACAGTGTGTCTACAAGGAGGAAAGTGTGAGTATTAACCTGCCAACATTTGCTGAGTGTTTGTTTTGCTAAATACTGGTTTATTGTATCATTCAGTCCTGACAAACAACTAGTAGATACTCCTGGTAGCCCTATTTTGCAGACATGGTAACTGAGGGCACAGGTTAAATAACTTGCCACTTTTCACACAGCTAAAATTGTGGCCAGGCTGGCTTCTCAAACCCAGGCCTATCTGATTCTAGGCCAGTTTTCTTGCCATTTTGTTCTGCCTCCCTTGAGAATCTCCAGAACCCTTCTCGTCTTGTGGACTTCATTCCCCGTCCAAAGCTCTGCTCATTTAATATGATGGTCTGGAAGTTACGCACTTTTCTGGAAGTGCCAGAGCATTTCACAGACCTCCTGAATGGAGTAATTGACTTTCCCAGAAGCACATCGGGAGTGGAAGGCAGCAGCCCAGAAATGCTGTCTCTGGAGGGAAATTGACATTTGGTTGGAGTTTCTAAGGGTGTTATAGACCATTGCTCTTCAGATTGTTCTAGCCTGTGACCTTTTCTCACTGTGCACATTTTCTCTACTGTAGAATTTGGCGGATGTACATATCACTGAGAGCAGTGTGATGTTACAGTGCTCTTTGCCACGGTAGAAGAGGAGAGGCAAGGAGAGGGACAGCCTGCTTGACACCTCAGCTGGCAGTGGAACTGGGCTCTGTCACTTGCCTGACACTGAGAAAAAAGAAAAACTATGGGAGCATTTTTGGTCTTAAGGTTCTTCTTCTTGACAGAGAATGTTAAATTAAAAGATAATGAAGTGGTAAATAGCGAGGCTGTGACTGTGCAGTTAGTAAGTTCACAGCGAAGGTGAGCACCCTGAGAGCAGGAATTTTAGCCCATAGCTGTGAAGGAGGCAGGCGTCCTGCTGGGAAGGACCTGTAGTGGGAGGGAGTTTTGTCTTCACCAGCTGTCATTTCCATAAAGCTATGTCAAAATTAATGGTTTCTGGCTCCTTAATATTCTTCATGTTTCCCCAGGGCTATTCCTTTGAGAACAGTGATAAGGCCTTGGACAGAAAGTTTAAGTTGTCAAGCATATCACTTTTGTTTTGGTGGTACTAGTGTTTGAACACAGGGCTTCATGCTTGCTAGCAGGTGCTGTATTGCTTGAGCCACACCTTTTAAGATTTAGAAGGGACCTGGAGGATTATCAGATTAAATTCTAGTGCAGGAGTCCCTTGCCTCTCCATCTGCTGGTTGTCCATATTTCCTCTGTTGCTTCTAGTGATGGGAGCGCAGTTCCTCAAGAGAAACATTTCACTGCTGATAGCTGTAATTAATAGAAAACTACACTTTAAACCAGTGTCTATTTCTCTGTGACTTGTTATAGTTTGTGGTTCTTCCAGGTCTATCTCTTTTTCCTTAGCAGGAATGTTTTAACCCATAGATAGAGGGATGCAAAAAAGATACAGATTGCCCTCAGTATACTGAAAATTCCCAGATTGAGCCCATAAACATTTATTTAGCAACTCCTAAGCAGTATGAAAAACTAATTCTGCCTGGGCTTAGATGTCTACAGCAAGGCCCCATGGGCTCTCCAAAGAGTAGTAACTTGCCACAAGGAGCAGATGCCATATATTTTGTCCCTGCTCTCACAGTCCCGGGCTGCACGCCAGCTGATGGAGAGGACCCAGTCATCCAACATGGAGACCCGGCTGGATGCCATGAAGGAGCTGGCCAAGCTCTCTGCTGACGTGACTTTTGCTACTGAGTTCATCAACATGGATGGCATTGTTGTGCTGACGAGGCTCGTGGAGAGTGGGACCAAGCTCTTGTCTCAGTGAGTATTACTGACTTAACACACTGCTCGGGGCCTCCTGTTCTCATTTCCACTGCATCAGATAAAGGAGTGCAGAGCAGCGAGCCAAGCACCAGAGTCCACACAGAGAGGTCTATTTCACTGTCATGGTCCTACATCTCAGAGTCCAGGTCGGCTTTCATAAATTAGGTAACAGTACAAAACATCACTATGACAAATGAGGAATAAAAATAGGGACTGTAGAAGTCAGGAAGAAGGAGGTCAGTCCAGGACAGACCTGTGAGTTTATGGAAAATGCTTGCCCTGACCAGGGCTAGTGAACAGACTGGACCATTGATTATCTCCCAGAACAGGTGGCTGTCCTTAACCAGCTCCTTGCCTGCCTCCTATCATTTCCAGTCCCTTCCTACCTCACATGCATATGTGCACACACACACAGGCCTATGTTTGTGTTTGCCATGGATTTCCCCCACCATTTGCCATCTCTTTGCTACACACTTTGTTGGGGAGGAGGAGATCAGTATTTGATGCTGCCCCATAAGCGTCTTCACTGCCCTCTGAGTTAGGCAGATGTGGGAAGCTCCGCCTGGTGATAAGCAGCAAATGACAGATGTTTAGGTTTCTATCTAAGCCTGCAGAGTCTAGGCAGGCGAGTCAGAAATCTTCTCTCAGGCAATAGATCAGTTTCAGCCAAACCAAGCAACTAACCTTAGGTATTTGTCTTAAGTCTCGGATCTTCCAGCTGTACTGAAGTCCTAAAGCTTTCTGCTGCCGTTGGGAGTTCTGTGGTCTCCTGAGAGTGCAGGGTTAGACTTGCCCAGCCTTAGTTTCCTCCTCATTAAAATGGGGATAAACGCCTACCTTGCAATGTTGTGAGTGGTGTTATTAATGAGGATGTATCTGAACATGCTGGTATGTGGGAATATGGTTTATTAATTGTCATATACAGGTACATGAAGGAGTAAATGTATAAGGAAGAGAAACGAAAGACTGAAAACATTTTAATCCTTATTCCCTACCAGCATTATTGTAAGGCTCTGCATATATCATCAGCTTTTCTGATAAGCATTAATCTGTGAGGTTAATGCTGTGAGATTAACTCAGTGTTACAGAGGAAGAAATTGAAGCTTGAAAAGATAAAATTTGCATGGTTAGTAAATGGCTGAAAAGGAATTGAACCCATATCCATGCCTTGTACTCTTTCTCCTTCATGCCGCTGCCATTTGGCCTACAGCTTAACATGGGACATAAGCTCCCTTGGGTTCCCCCAACAAGTGTCAAAATTTGACAAAGGTCTTCTTTGTTTTTGGGAAATAGATACGCAGTTCTATATCCCCAAGATGAAGCAACATGGGGAAGACAAGCCCAATTACCAAGCAAGCCTTTCTTATTTTTGATGATCGCTGCCTGGGTTGAATCTGCTCCACACCTGGCGAGGTGTGCACACAAGCACTTCACAACTGATTTTCCATGGGGTGTTTATGTTGAAATCCATCTCTTTTGTAGCTGCCTTCATACTTGTGTTGCCTGGATCTGAATCTTTGTATTATTTTGTGTGTGTGTGTATGTGTGTTGCACATGTCTCAGCTACAGTGAGATGCTGGCATTCACCCTGACTGCCTTCTTAGAGCTCATGGACCATGGCATTGTCTCCTGGGACATGGTTTCAATCACCTTTATTAAGCAGGTGAGGCCTCCAATATACTGTCTCTCTCCTCCCTCAGTTGCCAGTTCTCTGGACTGTCCCATACACTCTGGTGAGGCACAGCTTTATATTCCCTGGGACCAGACTTTTCATCCTCAAGCGCTAGTCTTCCTGTGGATCCTAAAAGTTTTACACTTTGTTTTACAGGTGTTTCTCAACTTAAAATGGGTTCCAACTTCATAAACCCATCATAAGTTGAAGATGTCATCAGATTGAAAATGCATGTGATCTACCTAACCTGCTGAAATCCTAGCTCAGCAGCACAGTTCACTGTAGTGTCACTGGTGTTTCCCCTCATGGTCATAGGCCTGACTGGGAACTGCAGCTCAATTCCTTTGCCCAGCCTCAAGAGAGACTGTCATCATCACTAGCCCAGGAAAAGATCAGAATTTCAAAGTGTAGTTCCTTCCAAATGCATGCAACTTTGTGACATTATTAAGTAGAAATATAATGAGTCAAACCAGTAAGTTAGGGGTCATGGGACTCAATGACTTTTTGCTCTGAGAAGGTAGAATGGGCTGTCAGAACTGAGTGTGGTCAAAGTATATTTGTTTGTCAGTGAGACTTGGAATAAACCAGCCAGTCAGCTGTTATCACCCCTGAGTCTTCTGACCTGCTGCTTCCTGAGCTCACCCTTCTCTGAATAAAAACATGTGCGTGCCATTTGCAAATCTGCCTTCTACTTACCAATCTGCAAGGTTGCCTGTTTGGGTGGTGAGATTGAACTGAGGGTGTAGAAGAGTACGTACGGTCCTGCTCTCCTTTTTTCCACCAGAAGGGGCAGTGTTGGTTCAGAAAAGTGAACTAGAGCCAGTGAATAATATTATATCCACTTGTTGAGGATTACCTATTGTTGGCTTGGGACACTGGGAATTGGAGACATTTGGGCCAAGGTGAACTGACCATGTGTCTAGGATATTATAATGGGGATTGAGAAGAGGGACAGAGGTCCTTTCTGTCTCTCCAAGTCTATGATGATCTAACTGTGGGGAGAAACTGTATGCTAGGAGAAAAGTAGATGAAGATAAAGTGAGATCCCAGAATCAGTAAGTCCTCTATGCTTGCTTTTCTTATGCCTGAATGCTTTTTTGATTGAGGATTGAGCTCTTAGGTTTGAGGAAACACAACTGAGTGGATACTGTAATCTGAGATGGAGGGATCCATGCTGAGGGAATCTTGGTACATTGGCCAGGATAGCCATAACCCAGATGCCATGATCCCCCTGGCCACAAGTGCCCACATGTAGGCAGTAGCCTGAGCTGAGAGCCTCAAGGGATAGAGCCAGGCTTCTCAGCCACCCAGCTTCCTTGGGCACCGAGCTTCCCACCTAATTCTCCCCTTTTGGGTCTAGATTGCAGGGTATGTGAGCCAGCCCATGGTGGATGTGTCCATTCTTCAGCGGTCCCTGGCTATTCTGGAAAGCATGGTTTTGAACAGCCAGAGTCTGTACCAGAAGATAGCAGAAGAAATCACTGTGGGACAGCTCATCTCACACCTGCAGGTGTAAGTAAAAGACCCCATCCTACCCTGCACTCCTTGTCGTTTCCCTTTTCTCCTGTCCCCCAGTTCTCCCTCTGTCTTGTGTATGGTCCAAACTGTACTCATTCCTTCAGCACCTCTTCCACATGACTGTCAGAATTCCTTCCATAATTCAGGCTGAAACTTGCTGTGTTCCTGTCTGAAGTCCTCTGTAACTCCTTGCCCATTAAGCTAATATGAAGGTTTTCCCAGTCTTCCTGAACCACCTGGGCACCAGACAGAATTAGATGCTTCCCTTCCTGTGGACCTAATACCTCTGTTTATACCTGTGAGAATGGTATTTATACAAAATGCTGTATTTTTATTATCTGTTACCCATCTGAAAGTTTGAACTACCTAGGAGAAACGATCAGTCATTTTTGTATCCCCTGCTTTGATTTAAATAGAGGTTCATTTCATATTTATTAGAGGAATACTTACTGGACTAATAATTGCCATGGTAATAGTGAATAGGAAGTATGGAATAGGTGTGAGTTCAGGGCACCACTTCAAATATAGGCTCTACAACATGTGAAGTCTCTGCCTTCAGCAAGTTACCTAATCCCTTCTGGCCTTAGTTTCCTTCTTTCTGGATTGGGGTTAGTCATCAATAAATTCAGGTGTTTACTTTCTCTTTTGGTAGTGGTACTGGAGTTTGAACTCAGCCTCACACTTGCTAGCCAGATCTCTGCCAACCCTATTTTGTGTTGGGTATTTTCAAGATAGGATCTTTTGAACTATTTGCCTCTTGAGTAGGTAGGATTACAGGCATGAGTCACGGGGGGTGGGGGAGAGGACACGGATGGGGGTGGACACTTGTTTGTTTTTAAGAAGCTTATCACATTCCAACACAATTTAGCAGATAATAAAACCAGATAACAAATGGACCCTTAGGAATCCTTAGGAATACCATTTCTTTCCTCTCCATTCTTTTTTCTTCACTTCTTCACAGTCTTCACAATTTAAGGGGTGGGACTTCCCAAAACAAGGGTGGTGATATTGTTGATTTCTTTCTGACTCTTGCTACTTCCTGTTGGTTGGATGTTGTCAGAATGTAGCCAGATTCCCTGCTGGGTCCAGGGAAGTCAGAGCTCCTAGACTCTGGAGTTTATAGGGGCTCCAACTAAACTCAGCTATGCTCCCAGACCATATTCCCTGGTAATCCAAGTAAAATTAAGCACAATGATTTCTTTATGGCTCTGATACCACCTTTAAGGATTCTTCATCCCCAGCTTTTGTACCCAGAGAGCCAACAGAGTTGATTAGGGTGAAAGGGATATTGGGGGCCCTAGATAGAGTTGTTCTGTTTCTTCATCTCTGAAGTAGGGATAACCCCAGTGGCCTCCCTGAGGACTGTAAAGGGGATAGGTCTTTTTTGTTGTTGTTTGTCTTTTCTTTTTTGGTGCTGGGATCAAACCCAGGGCCTTGCGCATGCTAGGCACACGCTGTGCCACTGAGCTACATCCCAGCCCCTGAGGACTGTAAAGGAACATGGGTTGATCGTGACTGTCACCAGCATGCATTTGCTCCACTGTGTGGGTGGGGCCACTTAGTATCCTCTACTAGACTCCTGAGGTGCCCACCTGACCATCCTGTGGGAAGGAGCAGTGTGCCCAGAATGTGACAGGTGGCGACAGCTTGTCAAGTGCCAGGATTATAAGATTCCAGACAATGGTTATAGTTAATTTTGTTTATTTAAAATAAAGTAAGGTAAGTTTCTAGTCAAACCTTTGAAAATATAGAAAAGCATAAAAAGCACATTATTTGCCCATTATCCCACTCCAGTGGTTAATATAACCACTGTTAAATGCTAAATTGAATGTCCCTTCAGGCCTTTTTCTATTTTTCACAAAATTAGTATCTTTCTTCGTGTAAGGTACTATATGTTATATGTACCTTGGTTATTTTTTTTCTTATTGAATAATATATCCTGATTGAACATTTCACTATGTCAAAGGTTCTTCTAAAAGGGTAGTTCTAAGCCTTTTTTGTATCCCAGCTGTATTTGAAAATCCAGTAACTGTGAACTCTTACCTCTTTGGAAAAAATAACACCTAGTCAACTAAATACATAGAGTACCATTTCTGGCATTCACAGGTTCTCTTAAGTCCATCCCTAAAACCCAGGTTACAAATCTTTACCCCAAAACATGATTTTTAGTAGTTAATTAGGGTTCTTATATATTAAACAGGGTTGCTAATGAGAACATTAGGATTACTTTAACATTCTTTGTCTTCTTAATAGTACTCCAGTGAAACAGCTGGTCAATAAGTCTCCCATAGCTTTCTGTTTACTGTCATAGATAAATTCCTTTGTGGAATTTCTGGATTGAGAACGTGCCTACTTTAAGTGCATTTGAGACTTTGCCATGGGTTATCATTTGATTGCAGTCTGTAAGTGATTTTTGAAACTATCTGCAAGCATCATCCATTCAGTCCTCTAATCTCCCTCACTCTGTCTCCACCGACACAGCTCCAACCAGGAGATACAGACCTACGCCATTGCACTGATCAATGCGCTGTTCCTAAAGGCTCCTGAGGACAAGCGACAGGTCTGTGGCCGCCTTTTCAAACTTTCCATTTGGGCTCCTCCAAAGAATTCCCACCATACCCACTCTTGCTGAGTATAGCAGAAATCCAGCCATTTTCCCAAGAGTTCTTCCTCAACTTCTGTGGCCAGAGCCTGGCAGGGTGGCATTGCCAAGGCAGGCCATGGAAAGAACTGTGAAGGAGACTATCTGGAAGCTGGATCAGAACAGGCCCTGAAAACTTCTCTGGAGGGCCAGAGAGTAAATATTTTCCAATTTATGGGCTAGTCTATGTGGCAACTCTTGAACCTGGCTATTGTAGCCAAAACAGCCTCAGACAATAGGTAATGAATGGATATGGCTCTCTTAACAATAAAACCTTATTTATGTAAACAGATGACAAGCCTAGTCTGCCTGGGTTAGAAGACCAAGAATAGGGAAGAGAGACCCTCTAGATATCACTCTGGATGTCAAGGGTCTGAAAAAATGGGGCTTTGCACTGAGTTTTGTGCATGACGTCCTCATCCAAATTCTGTACCTCTTTCCTCCCCTGTTCATAAGCTGTGTGATGCTATGCAAAACGCTTTGCCTTTCTGAACCTCAGTTTCCTCACCGATAATGTGGGTGCCCTCACAGGGATGTCATAAGGAAAACCAAGATTTTTATTTTACAAATGAGGGAACCCAGGAGTCGGCTAGGCAGTGGTGCAAACTGTGACGTGAGTCGAGGGGTTTGGGACAAAGTCCTTTTCCTGTCTCTGGTTGGACAAGTGTTTTAACCTCCCCAGTCTTAGCTTATCTTTCTGTAAAATGAAAGGCTCGGATTAAAAGATCTCTAAGGCTCCAAATAGTGTACAAACGTAAGAGTTCTAATTCTCTGTAACATCATGGGCTCAGAAAGATGAAATTCAGGTGGGATATGTGTCAAGCTCTTGGTAGATTCTAGAGGAAGGAGCAGGAGCATCTGTGGTTCTGTCTGTCCTTGTCTGTTTTGGATGGTGTGGCTCTGAATCTCTTCCTTCCCAGTCCTTGTTTGAATGTAAGCTGAAAGCTCATTCTGTCTGCTTCTCTCTGTGCTTTTTGCTTTCTGCCGGCAGGACAAGCACCTTAATCCTCTAGACCTGCCTGTCACTGTAAGTAGCACTGCTGTGTGGAAAGGGCTTGGCTCTTCCTGGTGGGGAGGTTAAAGTTGGGCAGGAGTAGCATGGCTGATAGTGGCCTTCCCCAAACCCCAGGGGGAAGGTTGTATGATGTAGATCTGTTGACAGCTTCAAGGAAGCTGAGAGTCATGGAAGGATTGAGGGTGCTTGCCCAGGGTAAGTGGCCCAGGACTTCCTTGTGATTTGTCTTTGCCCAAGTCTGATTCAGTTAGGGAAGATTGGATTTAGAAATAACCTGTGACTTTCATCCAGGTGATACCATGGATGTTTCACCTCCTGGCTTGTTAAAGGGAAAGAGGGTAAATCTGTGCCCTTCCTGCACTCTTCCTAGACCGAATTTGAAAAGGTTTATGGAGTTATCAGAAGGAAGTGGATGCTCCTTTCTTGGTTAGAGGGAGCTTTGTAGAGGCCAGCTTCACAGGGATATGAAATGGGATGAATGCTCCCCCAGTACCAAGGAGAAGCTTTGGTTTAAGACCTTCATATTCTGGCTCTGGGCCACTGTCAGTTGTCTACTTTGTGAGTCGTCCACAGCAAAGTTCCATCTCAACAGACATCCTATAGCTACCAAAAAAGTTTCCAGGCCACCTTCCTCCTCTACCAACCAGCATGTGCTCAGGAGACGCAAAGTAAAACTTAATATTCCTTGCAGCATCAGCCATTTGGGACATAGTGCAGCATTTAGATGTGTGAAAGAGACCTTTCAGCATGACCAAAAGGACAGGGCTCACAGATATTACTCAGCAGGAGAGATGTGACATCTGCTTCCTCAGGCCTATCAACTTCGTTGTCTATAAAGTGAAAGGAAGGCAGCAGTTTAGAAAGTGAAGTCATAGTAATTAACACTAGTAAGAAGTGAGGGCTGACATTGGAAAGAGAAGACAGAAATTTTGAAAAGCTGTCAGAAAAATTAAAAGCTTTGTAAACTGGGACCATTTTGATGAGGGGAAATAGCTTCACATTTCAGTAGTTACTTAGAGTAGGACAGTGTCACAACAGAATGATCACTGGTGTTCTTTTAGATGAGGCCAAGTCCTTTGCAGTGATTAGATTACAGTCATTGTAGTCTATTCAGAAACAAAGACTTGTATAAGAGCAGTCAAAATAACGGTGCTGAGAGTACCCTTAAAACTTCATTCTCTGGAAGAATCATTTATGTAGGATGCTTTATTTCCTGGGTGTGCTAAATAAATAAAACATTACTGTCAAAATCTGTACCAAATATAATAAAGTTGAACCTATCTTTGAAAAATGACCCCAGAATACCCAGCACATGGCTCTCTAAGCCAGTCAGAAGTGAGTCAGGTCACATGATTTCAGCATCCATAGGGTACTGACCTGAAGCCTCTTGCTTTGCAGTCAGTGCTTCATTAGGGTTCCTTCTGGCCCTGGTGCTGGCAGCTGCCTGGAACGGTGCATGTGGCTCAGAAACCCTCATGCTGCTCTGTACTCTGCTCGTTGTCCATTGCCCAGTGTCCTTGTGACAGTGTCTCATCCTCAAGCAGTCCATGTCCCTCTGTGAAGACAATACCATTGATTATGCCATTAGGAAGGGAAACTCAATTTGAGTTAATTTGTATTCATAGAAAAGAAAGTGAGGGAGGGTTTTTTTTGGGGGGGGGTGGTACTGAGATTTGAACTTCAGGCCTCAAGCTTGTTGCTAGGCAGGCACTCTCCTACTTGAGCCACTCAGCCAGCCCTGTTTTGTGTTGGGTGTTTTTGAGATAGGACCTCTTGAACTGGTCCAGACTGGCTTTGAACTGTGATCCTCCTGATCTCTGCCTCCCAGGTAACTAGGATTACAAGTATGAGCCACTGAGCCCAGTGAGGGAGGTTTTTAGAGTGTGAAATACATTTGATAGTCAGTGGATTTTCTTGCATTCTCCTACTTTTTCTTTGAAAGGAAAAAAAATAAGAAAAAGGAAAAAGGCCCAGAGTGATGACAGCACTTTCCTCTTGATAATAGTTACAGATGTGTGCCTGGCACCTTTCCTTATATTTACTCATTTTTCTCCATAGGATATGGCCAATGCATTTGCACAGAAGCACCTTCGATCCATAATTCTAAATGTAAGTCTTTGTTTATAAGGTGTTGTTACTCCTAGTAGCAATTGTTATTATGATTATTATTGAAATTACTATTGAGTGAGGAGAGCACCCAGAGAGAACTTGACAATAGGTACCAAACACTTCTTAAACTGGAAAGCTTTTTTCTTACAATCCTCTTAGCAGGGTTGTCTGTGGGCAGCCATCCCACCTGGAATTGTAGCACCTCTACGGAGGGACTACTTTTGATCCAGAGGGAAAACGTGTGGAGATAGCACAAAAGAGTAAAGTAATTCACCCAGCTCACCCTGGTCATAAACATGAGTTGTTTCAGGCGCTCATAGATGAGTAAGAGTGTGTTTGCTCTCAAAGACACTGTGCTGCAGTAGGAAAAGCAGTGCTTCCTAGAGATTCATGGTTGGGGAGGACAGGAGCAGTGAGTCCTGCCTTGCAGGAGAGGGTCTGGCAGCCTTTTGAAAAATGTCTCCAGGTGAAGCCTGGAGGTCACAGGTAGACCAGGAAGAACAGCAGTTGCACCTGGAGAGCAGTGGCACTGGGAAGAGCTATGTGATTGAGTGAGGCAAGGAGCAAATTTGTGATGAGGCTAGAGAGGTCCCAAGGACCAGATCAAATAAGACCTTTGTCCCACTTTCAGGATGACTGAGGAGACTGACTTAGGAGGTGTAAGAGTCAGATTTGTATTTTAGGATGACTGGCCACACTAAAAGGCTGTATGTTTCCTCAGAAATGCTGAGGGAGGAAGAGAGGAGGAGTTCCTGGAGAGGGGAGTCTGAAAAGAGGGCCCTTTCCTGGTTACTATGGTGGGTGATGTGGAGTACAGGAGGGCAGAGGGGGGAGAAGGAGCTGGGAGCTGGGGAGGACAGCCAAGAATCTGGATTAAAAAGAAGCAGTTTTATCAGTTGTCAAAAACAAGAGAAAACTGGGAGAGTACAGTGAAAGGAGTAAAGGAAAACTCCGGAGTGAGGTGTGAAAAACTTCATGCTGAATGTGGACTTTGGTGTAGGCCAGCCCTGCTCTGTCATTTTTCCATCTGCCTTGATCTTGAGTGGCTTACCCCACTTCACTGGGCTTTGATTTGCTCATCAGGTGTGAGGATTAAATGAGCTAATTCATGCTGTGCTCAGCAGGGCACCCCGCACCTGGTAAGCCTCTCTTTGGGCAGAACAGGAGGTCAAGAAGGGAAATGGAGTGGTCCTCTGCTTTAACCTACAAGTCTGCCAGCTTCTCTTTGCATGACCGACATACCCCCTACCCCCTTGGCAGGAGGCCCCAGGCAAATGCTGGGGCCTAGCGACAGGGAATGCAGTTTGCCACACATTGCTGTCAATACTCCTGAGCAGCTATCCTGATACCGTGCTTTCTGTGTGAGGATGAAGGTATCCTGGGGGAAAATTTAATTATGTTTGAGACTTATTTGCCTTAATGGGGTTAGAAATTCAGCTCATTTCTGAACAAACTTTGTGAACAAGAAAGATCCCACCATAAAAGACAATTTAGCATCAGGACTTAAATGCTTCGCCAGCTAATGTGTGACCACTGAAGCCTAGGCCGTGGCTGTGTGTCCTCACCAAAGCATGGGAACTAGCTGAGTCAAACCAAAGCGCTCAGGTATTGAAGTATTTCAGAGGTGATTAAGCCTGAGCCTTCCTTCAGATGAACCTCTGAAACCACAGATTATTAGATGGAGCTGTACCTCAAACCACTTCTGGAAGAGTAATTAACTGTCTTCCCACCATAGTGTGAACAGTCCCTTGATTGAGAGGGCACAGGGGCCAGATGTAGTTAGCACACACTGCACTTGCCCTGGCTCATGGAAGTGCCATCCAGAATGGGAGCCACCTGATCACTTGAAGTGAATGTCAGGTAGGTAGGGGCTTTAATTTCAGTTGAGTTTACAGTGGCTTGTGGTAACTGTAGTGGGGGAAACACAGATCTAGAGAAAGACAGCCAGAAGTCACACAGCAGAGAAAAGGTCTAGCTTAATGAAATAGTGTTGTTTCACCCAAGATACCGCAAACATCATTTCAACATATAATTAATATAAAACATTATTAGTGAAATACTTCACGTTTTCTTTTTTCATACCAGGGCTTGCACATCTGGTTTGTATTTCGTACTTATAGCACACCATGGTTGGACTAGCTGCCTGTCCAGTGTTCAACAGCCATGTAGACTTAATGGCCACCATACTGGACTACACTGGGTTAGAAACTTTGATCTAGAGCCGGAGCAGGCTCTGGAGAGAAGTCTAAAGTTAGAGGGAGCTTGGGAAAGACGCTGGTTTAGAGTTAGCTCTAGGGCAGTGCTGTACAGAACTTTCTGTGCTAACTGTAGCATTGTATGCCTGCATTGAATGATGGCCACAGATTTTTGTTGAGCCTTAAAATGGGCTGGTATGACCAAGGAACCAAAATTTTAACTTTAATTGATTTTAACAGATTGCAGTGCAAATAGGCACATGGCTAGTGTCTCTCACATTGGAGACCACAGTTCAGAGATAGGGCTGCTGAGTAAGAGAACCTGAAGGCCACAGAGGTGGGGCATATAGGAAACTGGATGAAAGGCTCATTTGGGCAAGAAAGGACCAGAGTGACAAGATCCAGGATGGTGGATAACACACAACAGAAGCAGGAGTGGTAAGAAGTGCAAGGGAGAGAGGAGGAAAGGACCTTGTAGGGAGAACAGAATAGTGAGCTACAAGAAGAGACTTAGTGCCAGTCAGTCAGGACAGACGGGGAAATACAAGAGAAGAGTGACAGAAGATGAGAGAAGGCAAGGAAATGCAAAGTGGGAATCTAGGGGTATCAGGTCAAAGGGAAGAGGTGATGGCTGACAGTGGGGACACAGAGAATAGAGAGGATGGTGAGGGGAGGGAGAGGAAGGACCAGTGTAGGAGAGAAAGGAGGAGGAGGGCAGCATGAGGGGCTGGGCAGGAGAGCCAGATGTTCTTCCCCTTTGTAGGTGGGTTAGTATCGTATAAAGAAAATCACTTTTTCTAAAGCTTCTCTGCCAGGTTGAAGCCATCAAAACATTTCATTTCCATAAGGAAAATGGATATTTTTCACACACTCTGTATCCTGTTTAGTAGTGCTGTGAGGAGTTGGTGCAATGAATCCTATGCTGATGCCCCTTCCCTATTTTGATGGGGGACCCACTCTCCTCACCCTCATGGTTGAGGTCAGGGGCAGTCTTTGCCCTCCATTCCACCTACACGCCTCAGGGGAGTGCAGAGAAGGGAAGCCGAGGGGCTTGTAGTAAATCATCTCTGTGTGAATCCAGCCCATCAGTGTTCCATCCCCACTAGAACGTGAAGTCCCTGCCCTTGTGGGGAGAAGTGTTCCCTGCCCCGGGCACTTTTTTACTTACTAGCTCTTCGGACAAAAAGACAAATCAGTCTTCTTGCCTTTGTTTTTACTAGCATGTGATCCGAGGGAACCGCCCAATCAAAACAGAAATGGCCCATCAGCTCTATGTGCTTCAAGTCCTGACCTTTAACCTTCTGGAAGAAAGAATGATGACCAAGATGGACCCAAATGACCAGGCAGGTGCTAGGGGGCCTTAAGTCATGTGCTGTTTTCACACGGCTGTAATACCCTCAGTGTCTCTGCTGGGTACTATGTGTGGACTTCATCAGCCCTGGGAGATCTAGTGTGGTCTGTGCCTAAGGGGACTTTATGGGCCAATGCCACTTCTGTCCTGCTGGGTAGAGGTGAGGCATCCCAAGTCTAGTTTAGGAGATCCTGCCCCGCTGTCTTTCTTTCTTGCTTCCTTTGGCTAGCTGATTCATCTGCCAACTGTCTGTTTCACCTTTAAGGCTCAAAGAGACATTATATTTGAACTGAGGAGGATTGCATTCGATGCAGAGTCTGACCCTGGCAATATCCCTGGAAGTGGGACTGAAAAACGCAAAGCTATGTACACCAAGGACTATAAGATGCTGGGATTTACTGTAAGTATCCCAGAATGCAGATGATGGTAGGCCTCTCTCCCCAGTAAAAAGTCAGAAGGCCCACCAGACAGAACCCTGACAGCTCCTCCTTTATAAGGAGGTCCTGGAAGAGAGGACAGAACAAATTGGAGGGTTTGGATACTTGGTTTGCTTTGGCAGTGGCAAGTTTGTGAATGTATGTGCATCATTTGGCCCTGCAAAATGAATCCATCAGTAGGATGGTCCAGGAGGTCAGCCGCAGTGGGTAGAGGATACCTGTTCTCTTGCCAAAGCAGCTAGATTCTTTGCAAGGCTAGAGTGACTATTTTGTGGTAGAATATGGCTTGATGGGGAATGGGGTGGGTTGGATTTAAGTATTTGTTGTGCACCCACTCAGTGCATGGCAGTATACTGGGTATGCAAGGTGAAGCAGCCACAGTCAAGCACTCCAGGAACTCACAATTTAGTAGTAGAAATGGGCACATGAAAAGTACTAGTGCCTCTCTATGGCAGCATAGAGAGGGGTGCAGTAGGGTTTCTCCCAGGTCATTCCACATACCAGGATTCCCCATCTCAGATCAGATGTCTCAATTTCTCCAGAACCATATCAACCCGGCCTTGGACTTTACCCAGACTCCTCCTGGAATGCTGGCCTTGGACAATATGTTGTACCTTGCTAAATTCCACCAGGACACCTATATCCGGGTAAGAGCAGGGGGCTGGCCTCTCTCCCAGTGTTCATGCCTTCCCTTGCGTTCCTAATCATCCCTTTCCTATTCCCCCCACAGATCGTCTTGGAGAACAGCAGTCGAGAAGACAAACATGAATGCCCCTTTGGCCGCAGTGCCATTGAGCTCACCAAAATGCTCTGTGAGATCTTACAGGTTGGAGAACTACGTAAGTCTCTGCAGCTCCCTGTCCTCCCTCAATCAGATTTGTCACCAAGAGCCTGGTGAGACTGGAAACTATGAACACTTACCTGTCAGCAGGACTGGACAGCCTTGGAGGCGGGGGGTTTTTAACTCCTTGTTTAGGAATCATGAATGGCTTTTGCTTTATTTGAGCCGGTCACTTGGGCTAGCCAAGTTTGTAGCAGGGTGGAGGCAGATCAAAAAACCCCTGGAGAAGAAAACTAAGCAAGTGAGGAAAGGCCCTTTCCACACTCCTTGGTAGCCACAGTCCTTGGTCTGCATTTGTTCCTTGGACTTCAGTGCAGAGAATCCAGAGTTTGTGGATGGGAGCTCCCAGGACCCCTGGGGGCAGAGTCTCATCCTTTCTCTATTCTCTTCCACAGCAAATGAAGGGCGCAATGACTACCACCCCATGTTCTTTACCCATGACCGAGCATTTGAAGAGCTGTTTGGAATATGCATCCAGTTGTTGAACAAGACCTGGAAGGAGATGAGGGCAACAGCAGAGGACTTCAACAAGGTCAGTGTCACCTCATGGCTCAGAGGCCCGTGGAAAGAACTATCACACGACAGTCTCTGGCAGCTGGCCAGTGCCTGGGGAATCCCTGAGCTGGAAAACCAGCCTCTTCTGCAGTGCCGAGTCACAATGCTGGGGTGCTAGTGAGCCTCAGTCCCATCTGGTTGTGATTTCCTCTGTAACCTTGAATGGGTGGCTTCCCCTTGGTGCCTAAGGCCTTCATTTGCCCAATGAAGCCAGCACCTTCCCCTCTTGTCCACCTGAGGGGTCAGGAAAAGAAGCATAGCTGAGTAGCTGTATCTGTTGTGCATTTGCTGGGCCTAGGCACTACTGGAGTTCTGTAAGCTGCAAACATTAAGAGGGGATTGAGGTGCTGTGTGCATTGTGGTACTTAGTTATCAGGCCTCAGTGCTATCTGAGAACCTCTCTGTGTAAAGCACCATGTTAGTCCCTTACAGGCTAACAATTTGGAGCTCAATGTTTTTAGGTTGATCACTTCATCCATAAAAATCTTGGAAAGTAGCTAGGCATGGTGGTGCATTCAGGAGGCTGAGGCAGGACGGTCATAAGTTCCAGGCTACATAGGAGACCCTGTACCCTCTTCCCCACCACCCCGAAAAAAAAAAAAAAAAAGGACTGGAGGCATGGCTCAAATGGTAGAGTGCCTGCCTAACAAGTGCAAGGCCCTGAGTTCAAACCCCAGCACTGCTCCTCCCCTCACCCCTCCATAAAAAACCTTGGGAAATACAAAGAAGAAAGTCATTTGTTTTTCTCTGATCTTTTTTCTCAGCATTTTCTCTCCATAGTGAGATCATACTGCACGTGTAATGGGATACCTGGCTTTTCCTTCAGCAGTTGTTTTTAGGGAACTGGCACATTTAATACACCAGTGTGCCTGGCACTGTGCTTGCCTTCCATGCAGCACCTCACATTCCTTACAACGGCACATATTGGAAGGTGGGTCTTCCTTTCTCTCACTTTAGAGATGAAAGTGGAGACTTGAGGTTAAGCGCCTTGTTCAAGGAACAGATTAAGGGACAGAGCCAAGATGGGAACCCATTTCTGACTGGAAAACCCTGTGTTCATTCCCTGATACCAGTGACTAATCGAAATATATGAGAATTGAAGCATCTGTCACCATCTTTCACTTGACCTGGGTAGCCATCCAAGGAAGTGTCCCTTACAAAGTCAAGACTCCAGATCACTCAGCAGGTGTCTGTAGTTTCTGCTCTGCTCAAGCCACTGGGCACCATCATGGAGTGCCTTGGTCTCGAGTCAGCCTGCCCACCTCACACTGTGCTAAGTTGCGGCCTCCTTTCTACCCAGGTTATGCAAGTCGTCCGAGAGCAGATCACTCGAGCTTTGCCCTCCAAACCCAACTCTTTGGATCAGTTCAAGAGCAAACTGCGTAGCCTAAGCTACTCTGAGATACTGAGACTGCGCCAGTCCGAAAGAATGAGTCAGGATGACTTTCAATCCCCACCCATTGTGTAAGTACTATCCCAGAAGGGGCTGTGGGAGAGGCAGCTGCCAGCTCTGCCTTCAGGAACAGCACTGTTCCGATGGCCTTCTATTTACCTGGTACCTGTGCACCCAGGGAGCTGCGGGAGAAGATTCAGCCAGAGATCCTTGAGCTGATCAAGCAGCAGCGTCTAAACCGGCTCTGTGAGGGCAGCAGCTTCCGCAAGATTGGGAACCGCCGAAGGCAAGGTGGGAGGAGACACAGGGCTCTGGGCCAGTGCTCACCCACTGGACTCCCCAAGGCCAGGATGGGTCTGCTGAGGGGCCCCAGTGGGAGCAGGCAGGCCTCGGTCATGCCTTTGCCCAGTACTGTCCTTGCTTATCTGCTTGTGTTCCTTGGGTTCCAGAACGGTTCTGGTACTGCCGCTTGGCACTGAATCACAAGGTCCTCCACTATGGTGACTTGGATGACAACCCACAAGGGGAGGTGACTTTCGAATCACTGCAGGAGAAAAGTAGGTGCATTTCTCTTCTCTCTTGTGTCATGGTAACTGGGCTCACCAGAAGACCCAGGTTCTGATCCAGGCTATTTCACGCTGAGTATCTGGGCCCATAACCTCTCTGACCTTGCCTCCTCATTGGTCAGCGATGGTCTCCCTGGCCTGCTTGTAAGGGTTGTTTGGAGAATCAGCAAGGACACAAATGCGAATGTGTGTTGTAAGTTGTGAAGGGTGGGACAAGACTTAGTTGAAAGGCAGTGGTTAGGAGCAGACATTCTGAACACTCTGAAACCAGACTGCCTGAATTCAAATCCTGGCTTTGACCCTAATTAATTTCTTTCTTTCTTTTTTTTTTTTTTTTTTTTTTGTGGTACTGGGGTTTGAACTCAGGGCCTTCACCTTGAGCCACTCCACCAGCCCTTTTTGTGATGTGTTTTTTTGAGATAGGGTCTCATGAACTGTTTGCCCAAGCTGGCTTAAACTTTGATCCTCCTGATCACTGCCTCCTGAGTAGCTAGGATTACAGGTGTGAGCCACTGACACTGGCCCTATTAGTTTCTAGTTATAACTAATTGCAAGTTAATTTTCACCTTTGCCTTGCTTTCTTCTCCTGTAAATTGGGAGTAGTAGCCACATGGGTACTACATGGGTAGTGTGTGCTACATGGGTAGTGTGTGGGAAACACTTAGAAGCTGGCTGGCAGGTGGTAAGTTTGACTTTACTCAGCAGCTGCCCCTGCTGCTTGCTCTATGGCCTTATCTTCACAGCTGTGAGGGGAAATGAGGGGGCGTGTCCAAGCCCCACTCTTTGGAGTGATAAACCCAAGTGACACATGGTGAGCTTTGACATAGCCTCACCAGACCAGTGCCCAAGAAGGAGGGAAGAGTGCAAGGCCATGCTCCATGACCACCTGAGCTGGCAGAGCCCTTGGAGTCTGGGAGCTGCAGCATCCTGGCACTCTGCCTGTGGCTTCCCTTTCAGCACTGAGGCAAGCACTGACCAGTTTGCAGCGTAAGCTTCCAGACACTAATTTCCATCATTTATCAGTTCCTGTTGCAGACATTAAGGCCATCGTCACTGGGAAAGACTGTCCACACATGAAAGAGAAAAGTGCTCTGAAACAGAACAAGGTGAGTGAAGAGGCTGTCCTGAGCTCAAGAGGCTGTCACAGTGATATCTGGGAAGTACAGTTGATGAGGGTATTTTAGGTATAGGCTTGCTCTCTTTAAATTATTCCCAAACATTCTATTAAGATGAATTTTGAGGCTGGACAGAATGGCATGCACCTGTATTCCTAGTATGCAGGAGGCTGAGATAGGAGGATTGTGAGTTTAAGGTCAGCCTGGGATACATATCCAGACCCTGTCTCAAAAAAAAAAAAAAAGAGCTGGAGGTGCGGCTCAAGTGGTAAAGCACCTGCCTAGCAAGTGTGAAGCCATGAGTTCAAAACCTACTATCACCAAAAAAAAAAAAAAAAATTAGAACATATACAAATTACATAGGACCCCCAAACATGCCTCACTCAGCCTTAGCAACCATTGTACATTCTGCTATCTATTTCCTCTCCCTTGTGACTTTGAAGAAAACCCCAAGTGTTACATTTCATCTGTGAATATTTAGCTTGTACTCTAAAACATAAAGGACTCTTTTAACTTAACCATAATTCCATTATCACATCTCACAGAAAGTAAAAAGTAATTTCAAGTGTTCCATTCATGTTTCGGTGTCCACCAGTTGTTCTATGTATGTCATGATTTCTCTATAAAACATACAGGTTTACATGTGTGCACACACACATTCACCCACTCACACCCATTTTGTTTAAATCAGAATCCCTGTACAGTCTGCCCACTGTGATGAGTCTTTTTAAGTTTCTTCATAAGTTTCTCCTCATTTTTTTTTTCTTTACAGTTTATTAGCTGAAGAAACCAGGTTGCTTGTTTGGTAGTTTTGCAAAGTCTGAATGTTGCTGATCGTCTCCCTGTGGTATAGTTTGACTCTTTCTTCTGTCCCAGATCTGTAAATTGGTAGAGGGATCTGGAGGTTTGATCTGGTTCAGGTTTGACTTTTTTTCTGACAAGACCACATCGTGGAGAAGCTGAAGTTCTGTCAAGAGGTCATGTCAGCATACTGTGGCTTCCAGAGCAAGACTTGCAAACCAGTGGTGTGGTTTCTCATGCAGTCATTCCTTTTGATTTAGATGCAAAACTACTGCTCTGTGGAGAAACTTGCCCTGTCTACTGTTGGTTTCCCAGTGGTACAGTTTATGTAAGAGGAGGATAAATGCGATTCTTTCTTTGTGTACCTACTTTTAAAATAGTTAGTTCCCTAGTTATCACTCAACAATGACAATTTGGGGCCTGTGTCTTGTTTTTTAGCATTATTATGAGCTCATGAATTTAAGCAAATTATATATGGTTCCATCCGTTGCGGTTGTTTTGTTGATATTCAAACTGCCTCTGTCTTCAATTTGGTTTTAATGTTTTAAAGTGGTAAGACTGTCCTTTGTCAATTACAGCATGACAGAAAAAGGAAGTCATTTTATTTTGTTAAATACAAAGACTTTCAGGGTAACATACATTCATGGACTCTGACATTCAAGGGTTCTGAGTATTGAAAGTGACTTTTCTCTGATCTTTTGTTTGCTTGGGTATTGTGTTTTGTTTTGTTGAGATTGGGTCTCACTGTGTAGCACAGGATGGCCTGGAACTCTTGCCTCCTCCTCCTCACTGCTGGGATTACAGGTGTATGCCACCATGCCCAGCTACTGGTCTTAAAAGCATCACCACATCTTAGTTTGTGACTTGGGTGGGGAGATCATTTAAGGTGAGTTGATGCTGCATGCATGCTTGGTGCCATCATATCCAGGTAACTGAAGCCCTTTCCCTCAGGAGGTGTTAGAATTGGCCTTCTCCATCCTGTACGACCCTGACGAGACTTTGAACTTCATTGCTCCTAATAAGTACGAGGTGAGCAGTGTGCTACTGCCTTGGACCACAGCACCCTTGCCATGGACCTTGAGCTGGAAGGGAGCCCCTGGAGGGAGGAGTGGGCAGAACAGCAGCATCTTCTGGAAGGCTGTTGGATACCAAGGATCTGCCATGTCATGGGCTTCCACCCTGGGCTGGCTCTCCACTTCACTCTTAGCAAGCACAGTTATCGTTAGAAAGCCAGAGTTGAGTTGGGCTCACTCAGTGCCTGGCACTAGAATTTCTCTTTTTAGTTTGTCTGTGGCTCCCTACCCAAGTGGACTTGACCGTCCTCCCTCCTCAGGGCTGCCAGTTACATGTTGTAGTGGATTCAGCGGGCTTTGAAGCCAGATGGATTTGGTGCTGACAAGGTACTCACAGTTCCATCTACAGCCCCAGAAGATACTAGTCATTCAGTGAGTAATAGTTGAGACCCTGTGTCTAGTGAGCTCCGAGAGCCATCAGTGGGGACTTCAGAAAGAGCAGACATTTGGACAGGCTTGAGTGCCAGTGGAGTTACGTTGTGAGTAAGTAAAGAACAGGCAGTGCAGAACAGGTGTGCAAGGCACAGACAAAGACGACAGCAGAGGGAGCAGGTGGAGTTAGGAGGGTGAGAAACATTCTCTGTTCTTCCCTCCCATCATGAAATCCTCCAGCTCTTTTTAGTGCTTGTTTTTTTAACAGTAATTGACTGGGATTTCTTAATTTACTTTTTTTGAAACAAAATTGAGATTCTACAGTGCATCTGTGGCATCCTGCTTTTTTACCTCATATATATTCCCCCTCCCATTTCAACTTCAGGTAAGTAATCCTCCAGTACTCAGTGCATTTTTGGATCACATCTCATATTTTGACTTTTGATATAAACACCCCCCCCAAAAAAAACCACTGCTCTCTTGAGAAAGTGAATAACCACCTCCCAGTTATCTTTGCTAATATCCCAGATCAGTTTTGCCTCTTCTGAATAGTGCCACTAGGGAATATGGTGCCTTCCATGAGAACAAAGATCTCATATGCTCAGGGCCAGCATATGACATTTTGCAACTTGCTGTCCACAGTACTGCATCTGGATTGATGGCCTCAGTGCCCTCCTGGGGAAGGACATGTCCAGCGAGCTGACTAAGAGTGACCTGGACATGCTGCTGAGCATGGAGATGAAGCTGCGGCTGCTAGACCTGGAGAACATCCAGATCCCTGAGGCACCACCACCCGTCCCCAAGGAGCCCAGCAGCTATGACTTCGTCTATCACTATGGCTAGCAGTACTAGGAAGGGATTGCAGCCCAGGAGAGACTCACAGTCTGGTGCCTTGTCTTTCACTGTACAGAATCTATAGTGATCGTGGTGGCCAAGGAATGTCAGCCACTCCTCAAACCCACCTTGAATCAGGACCAGGCCTTCTGGCCCCGTCTACTAGGAGTCATGAAGGCAGGGTATCCTGCCTTCCTCAGCACTGCAAAACCTGGGATCAGCCTTGAGGAATGAAGGGTAGAAGCTCTTGCCTCCAGCCCCCAAACTGTGTCTTGAAGTGGACTTAGCAGCAGTCACCCTGCTTTTCTTCCTGAGTCTGGTTGGCTGGACTCCATGTGAGCCAGAGCTGGCCCAGGAAAGTCTGCCTGCAGAGGTCAGACATGCTGGGTGTGTTGAGAGCCTTGGAGTGACTGCCTTTGGGTGGCCCTTGCTGGTGACTTGGGTCAGAGGACAGGCCTTGGGCCTTTGCTATTGTCATCTTTGTGAGGGTTCACTCCAGCTTCACCTGATACCAAGATGCTGCTCCTTCTGAGATTTGGCTCTAATGTTTCTGGTCTCTAGAGCTATCAGATCTCTCTTGCCCATGCAGGTATCAGAGCAGAAGGAAATTTCTCTCTATAAGCTTAGTCTCATCTTGGCCAGGCAAAGACCTCCAGGCTAAGTCCTGCCTTCTCAGTCTCCGGGAATGCTGCAGGGAAAGCCCAGCTGAGGACTACACTGGTGAGGTCTCAAGGTTCTACCCTCACCCCTACGTTTATATATTTTTTTCTTCCTGGGAGAGCACTCTTCCACTAACCTGAATTGCACCTCTCTCTGGTTTGCTTTCCTTTGGACTTCCAGACTCCAGGAAGTTTGCCTTCCCTTTCTCTCCTTTCTGGGGCCATGATTTCAGGGAGCTGGCTGAGGCCACAGTTGTGTCATGGGCCTTCCCTGGTGCTGCAGCACTTGAAGCACACACACAGCCTCTCCTGGACACCCATTAGCACGGTGGCATTCAGTGTTGGTAGTCTGGCATGGTAGGTACTACCCAATGAAGAGTGTACTATGTATTTTCTTTACTATAGGCCATACTTATATAGACATGTATATATATTTATATAAAACCTACTTATCGTAGGATGGAATGCTTGGGGGAAAATAAAAATTGAGGGTAAAAACAGTGATGCTCCCAGTTGTGATCCAAGAGTGTAACCAGAGAACACCCAGAAGCTTCCTGTCAGTAACCATGTTTTCAATAAATACTCTTTCATGTACCATCTGGTTCCTGCTAACAGCTGTTTCTCTGCATTTACTCCCTGCCCAAGTGTGTGGGGGGGGGGGTCACCCGAAAGCCTTCATTTCACTGTGCCTGGGGGCTTCTGGTGAGCCCCAGCTGGAGCCCTTAAACACCCTCCAAGAACCTTCCTTCCATTCCTCGTCCACTGTGCCCCATCACACATGCAGCCAAACAACCTGCTGGCTAAAGATGCTCACAGATTGTTGCACTGGGACAAAGCGTTTCCTGCTGAGCACTGCTGGGTACAGCAGGGAAAGACATACTGTACACCCCCATGAACACATTCCCCCCTTTTCTTCCTGCGAAGGGCACAGCCAGGGAAAAGCTCGAGTACTTGTGCCTTAAAAGAAGACATGTTCTGTGCCCTGCATATTGCTATGGTTAGTGTCCTGCCTTCCAGCTGGTGTTTTAGGCTGTTGCTTCAATCTGTGGCCTTGGTAGCTGGGAAGCTTGAATGAGGGCAATGATTAAAATAGATACTTTTTCCTGCCTCTGAGAGAAGGAAGCAAGGACAAGCTCTTTCAGAAAGCATAGAAACTACATGCAATCCAGGCCTTGAAAACTGAATGAAGCCAAGACCTTGGGCTGCGATGGGTACCACTGTAGCAGTTGGTAAGCCCTAATGAACTAGTGCCTGTGTGATGCCAGCTGGCAACAGCGACAGCAGCAGCGTGCACAAAGCGCTGCTTACAGTCTGGCCTTGAGCCTTCTGTTCAGAGGGGCCAGGAGCCCATGAGTCACTTGCAAAGACCCATGTTTGCAGCCAATTCTAGTACCAAGGGCCTGAGGAGGATGAAGGAGGGCAAAAGCACAAAGCTGGGACTCCATGTGCAGCTCTTGTCTGGCTGGCTTGATGGCTCTCCCTGCCCACAAGTGCATCTTAAGATGAGTCAAATTAGAATGCTTTAGACTGGCATTTTGGAGCCACTACAATCTGATCTTTTGCTACTTTAACCATCATGGTTTTTGTTACCCTCCTGGAGGAGCCTTTACCCTCTCCTACTTCTTCTGGGATGCCCCCCTCAACCCATTGAAATAATTCTTAACAAATCTTAAGGCATACAGCAAATATTTCCCAAATGATTACTATTTCACCTGGATCTTCTAAGCCTTACAACTTAATGCCCCTGACATCGCTTCTCGGCCGGCATGAGCTCGCAGGAGAAAAAGCCCATGAGCCTTCCCTTCGCGCTTCGGCCCACGATCGCCAGCACTGGACTGGACGTGGATAAGCGGGTTTTGAATTGTTTGAATGCTGGCTGTGTGCAGGACACTAGCAGCCACCAAGGCCGTGCTCAGCCCTGCCTGGGCTACAAGGGCTTCGCTGGGACGGAGGGCAAGAGATCACACGGAGCACCGCAGTAGCCGCGGCCGCGCCGCCGGGACTCTCGGCGGCTTCCGGCGGAAGTCACCCCTCCCACGGCGCAAGGCGGTGCCTGGCCTCGTACTTCCGGCAGGAGGATCCGGGCCGGGAGCTGCCCGGTCGGAGGTGAGTGTGCGCGCGGCGGGCGTCCCGGGGGCGGGAGGGGTCTCCACGCGGGCTGTGCGCGCGGAGGCGTGGACACGCCCGTGCTCCTGCCCCGCCCCAAGCCTCAGTTTCCCCCCCGCTAACTCGGCATGTACCGAGCACTGGCGAGGGCCCCGCTCAGGTGGGCATCAGACACTGCCCCGCCCGCGGAGAGACCGCGTCCCGCGGTGGGTGGCGCGGCTCGAACACCTGAGCAAACACTGAAATGTCAGATGGCGGGAAGTGCCACGAGGATTGGGGACCTTCGGGGATGAATTCAGCCGAGCAGAGGCCTGCGACACGTTCAGAGAAAGCCAACGGCAAGAGGCCACGATGGCGGTGCTGGGGGCAAGGGTAGGAGGGTGAGGTGCAGAGGTCGGCAGGGGCTAGATCGTGGGAGGCCTGCCTTGTTGACTTAGCCGAGGGTCAGCCCAATGAGGAGGGCGAGACCTCCTTTCTGTGTTTAAGCCATCTCTCTGACTGCTTGGTGGACTCCAGGCTGTAGGGGCAAACAAGGAAAAGGGAGACAGCTGGGAGACCAACTGCAGGAAGTAGGTAACTCTGAAGGTAACTGTGGTGGTGGAGGAGAGGCAAAGAGAAGTGTATGAGTCGAAAAGTAATTGGAAAAGCTGGGGCATAGCTCACGGGTAGAACGTTTGCATGAGGCCGTGGGTTCAAACCTCAGTACCACACCAAAAAAAAAAAAAGTTATGGAAGTGGAACAGGGCAGGATTTGAGGAATGAAGGCAAGAAGGGGGTCACAAGTAATCTCATCATTGATGTTGGCATTTGAAGTAACCAGGTGTATTATGCTGGGATTTTCTAGGTGTCTTTAGAATGATTGGAGACATGAGGACTCGTTCAGATACCTTCTTAAGTCATTTTAAGTTTTAGCTGTATGGAATGGAGCTATCAAAAGGGAAGTCTGCAATCACAGGAAAGCTTAAAGCTAAATCTTTGGCAAGTCAACTATTACCTAGGGTGAGAATTAAGATAGAAAACATTAACCAAGACCGGGCCTCAGGTACCAGTTCTTACAAATTGGTTGAAGAGGAGATGCTGCCAAAAAGTTTTCCAGAAAAGCCAGGAGAGTGTTGTGGGTGGCCTCTAAGAGGTCTCTCCCAAAGGAGGAAGTGGTCAGTGGTATAACAGAAGAGACCTGGCTTTAAAAGGGGCAACAAGGAAGAGGGTGTGGTGTCTCAGAGGAGCACTGGGGCAGGTTGAAGTGAATGAGAGGTGAGGGGGTGCAGCTGGCAGTGAGGGTCCTCTGGCAGCCTTTTGCTGTTAGTGCTGAAAGGGGAAGAGAAGGAAGTAAGCTCCGCCCGTAGGCCAGTGTCAAGCTGTGCCCAATACCATGGACTCCTCTCCCCAAGAGGCAGTGCTTTATCCCATGTACAGCTGGAGAAACTGAGTCCAAAGTTCAAGTACTTTAGAGTCATAGTAGCGGGATTTCCCCCCAGCCCTCTTAACTTCCAAGCTGGCCCTTTTAGGTACTGAGCTGCAGTGCCTATGTTACAGATGGGGAGATAGAGGGGAGTCACACGCTATAGTGACACCACAGCCCTGCCCTGATGTGACTGCTGCTCCCAGAAAGTGAGGCAGAAAACAAAGTTCCTTTCCTGGGCAAGAGAGACTTGAAGATGAGCATTTAGCTGGTTACGCCCACACTCCTTTACCACAGAGGAAGGGTGAGGACCTTACCAGTTTCATGTCTGTTTCTCCAACACTAGCAACCCAGTACTTAATGAATACATATTAATAAGTGGCCCTTCTAGCTGAGGTCTGGCTTTGGGTTTGGGGGTAGGTGACCTTCTGGACACTAATAAGAAAATAAGTGTTATTAACTTTGAGACACTGCTTCCTGCGGCCTGGGGTGCCCATGGGGACTTCCTGGAGGGAGTGGAACCTGGACAAGCTCTTTGAAGGGGAGGCAGGATTTGAACAGTGGAGGGAGGGATTGCAGTATTGGAGCAGGAACTCAGTGAAAGCAGAAGGTACAAGAAGTTGATTCACAGAAGGGGGAACAGATTGCTATGGCATCAAAGCCACTGGAAGGACCCATGGGGACAGCCCCTTTAGTCCTGTGTTGTGACTGCCTGTGTAGGGTAAGCAGTGGTCCTCAACAGGGAATATTTGTCCCCCCCCCACCAGGGCTGGGAATGGAATCCAGAGCCTCACATATTCACATGCTGGGCAAGCCCTCTACCACTGTGCTATACCCCTAGTCCTACAGGGAGCACTTTTGATCCCCAGTGAACATTTGGCAATGTCTGGACACAATTTTGGTTGTCATAAGTTGGGGTGGGGAGTAAGGACGCTCCTAGCCTGTAGTGGGGATTCTGCTAAACAAACTACAGTGCACAGGACAGGCCTTCTCCCATGAGGGTTTATCCACACCAAACAGTAGCACCAAGGCTGAGAAACCCTGGTGCAGAAGAGAGTGTGTATGTGGGTTTAGAGCCCATGCACCCTATTCCCTAGCCGTATAAGCAAAGGTCTAACTGGGAATGGCAGGAGAAGCAAAGGGAACTCTGCAGTTGTTTGGGGAGAGGATGGGGGTTCGGACAGCAGCAGTGGAGGTCAGGAGAGGTGACCATATTGGGATTGTTTCTAAAAATAGAGCTGACAATACTTGTTGATTGGGGCTGAGGAAAGGAGGAATCCCCAGTGAGAATAAGGTTCTGGCTGTGCAGTAGATGAATGGTGGCTCTAACTTGCACTGGGAACTGGTAAGAGAAGTGGGTCTTCTGAAGGGTGTGGGAACCATGCTGAGTGCTGGGCACTCTGGGTATGTGATGCCTGACACCAGACACCTAGCTAAAGAAGTCAAGACAGCAGATGCTGTGCCTCTGGGGCTCCTGGGGACTAGGGCCGGCTCACTCTGGGAGATGGCAGCTGGCAGAAAGCATTTCAGAGTGAGGCTGTGTTAGGATAGCACAGTCACCACTGGATCCAACATGCCGTCTTTATCACAACCAATTCTCAATAACCCCTTTTATTCTAAAATGAAACTCATGATTAGTAAAAACTACCTACACAGAATTTTTAAAAAATTAATGGTGCCCTAACTATAATTCGAAAGGAAAGTAATTGACAATAAAATCAAATTTGTCTCTTGTCTGTAAGTTCTTGAGTACAGTGGTGCTAGAGTCAGAGTGAGGCAGCCAGGGTTTCCCCTCACTGTAGAATGCTGTAAACCTGACTGCCACCAGTGAAGTCTTACAGCTCAGACACCATAAGTGCCATTGCTGTACATGATGTTTGTGTCCAGAACGAGAGCTCTTGGTACCATCTTGGCCAAAGGAGTTGGGTCTTCCCCTCAATGTGCATAATAATTTTGTTCTTGACAATTTGAGTACCTAGTAGAACCATGGGAAACTGCTGTGTTTACAGTACAGCTGAACTGAATTGTGGTTCAGATCACCATAGATGGATCTTCTGCCTACATGAATGTCAGAATCACATAGAACAGTTCTTACTTGTGGCGCCTTCCTGGTCCCTGCGCACTTATGCCAGGAGAGTGTCCTCTAGACGCCACCCCAGGGTTCCAAAGCTGCTTTGAAGAGAGCCAAAGCCTTGGGAGTCCTTTGTCCAAAGCCCCAACAGCTCCTAGTTAGCCTTGGTGGAGGGGAAGTGATAGGCTCCAGAGTGCCCAGCCAGACGTGATGCTCCCTTCAGAAAGGACTGAGTTGAGGAGATGGGAGTCCAGCCAGATGGTTCTGGGAAGGCTTCCAAAGGAGGTGGCATTTCAGCAGAGTGGGGAAACGATAGGAGAGAAAGGGACACACAGATGAAACAGCAGGTATGGTAAGGTTGGGCCCAGGCACAGACAGATCCCCTGTGTCCCCTGAACCCAGCATGCCCTGGTACTCCTCAGGTGTGCTGGGTTGATATAATGGCAGGGAGTGGTTTGGTTTGACAGTACCCTGAGGCAGGTACCTCCTCTATGGGAGTGGCTGTTAGAGGTTAGAGCAAAAGGGGCTTGGGGGTTCCTGGCTCATCTTTAGCCCTAAAGTCCAGGTCAGCCTCTGAAAATGTCATGCATGCTGTGTATCAGAGTCATCAGACCAAATGGTGTATGTAAGGCCTGTATGGCTATACTGCCCCTGTCCTCATGAAGCTCATAGCCCTGCAGAGAACACAGACATTAGTTATGGGCTGGGAATGTAGCTCAATGGTAGCACACTCACCTAGCAGGCGAGCCTGGGTTTGACCCCCGCCCCACCACTGGAAACAGTAAAGCAAAGACGTACTCAAATCATGGCCCACTGGAATGGCATGAAGGAAAGAAAGGGAGCTGTGACAGGGGCTCAGTGAGGGGTGTTTCTGAGGAAGGACTGAGGCTGGCTGGAGCTCTGTTGCTCTGGGCAGGCAACAGTAAGGCACCTTGTGTGTTGGAGTAACTGAAAGGCAGCAGGTAAGAGCCTGGGACTGAGCTGGATGGACTGGCAGGACCAGATTGGGGCCTGGAAGCCAATGAAGGGTTTCAGCAGTGCTCTAAGAGCTCAGATGTACATGCTGAAAAGGTCACTTTGGTGCAACCTGTGGAGAACAGCTTGTGGTAACAAGAGTGGATCTGTCCTGGGGCCCTGTGAAAGCCTGGGCTGTTGTGGGAGGTGACTCCTGCCCATGCAGCCTCTCTGTGCCTGAGCCTGCTGCCTTCTCTTCTTTCCAGCAGCGGAGCAGGGGACCTGTGAGCCCTGCATCCAGCCAACCATGGAGCGAGTGAGCTCAGGCCTCTAGCCCCTTAGGTGAGGACTCCACCTGGGGCTCTGTCGAACTTTCCATCATGGCAGTGAAGAAAATTCTTCCAGCCAGGGGACCTGCTTGGTGAAAGTTGTGGTTCAGCTCTTCCCACGGACTGTCTTCAAGAAAGTGCCTGTACCCCTGGCCAAGGAGCTGGGGTGCCACAACCTCCACTGATGGGGAGGTGGGCCCTCGACCTGGCCTTTATATGGAAGGCAGTGTTGACCCTAGGGCTCGTCCTGCTCTACTATTGCTTCTCCATTGGCATCACCTTCTACAACAAGTGGCTTACGAAGGTAACTGGAGGCCTCACTCATGCCAGGGCTGGCATGAAGGTGGCAGTAGTTGGTACAGCTGTATTGGCCCACCATGGCACTTGCCTGGTTTTTTTTTTTTTTTTAACTTGCCTGGTTTTGATGGTGGGCAGAGCCAAGCATGTGGCTAGCAGGTGTGTTGTGGTGGAGGTAGCATTGGGCTGGAATTGAGCTCCTGGGCTGCCACTTCTCTGTGTGGCCTCCAAGCTGGGTGGGACCAGCTGTCTCTTGTTTCATGGGGCAGCTGAGAATTGCTCACGCTGCCCACCAGATCAGCGCCCTGCCACTGGAGGGAGGGAGGAGGTGGCTGCCATGTTGTGGGTAATCAGAGCAGCCAAATGGGCCCTGGTGTCTGCTTGTCCTCTGCAGAGCTTCCACTTCCCACTATTCATGACGATGCTGCACCTGGCCGTGATCTTCCTTTTCTCAGCCCTGTCCAGGGCACTGGTTCAGTGCTCCAGCCACAGGGCCCGCGTGGTGCTGAGCTGGACTGACTACCTCAGAAGAGTGGCCCCCACAGGTGTGTCCCAGTGTAGAAGGGCCAATGGAGAATCTGTCTGAGAGCTGGGGCTGAGCCCTTCCCTTAGGACCCTATGTCTCTACACCCCTCTGTCCCCACTCAGTTCTCCCTGTCCCTCTCCCCACTACCACCTGAAAAGTCCTTGTTGAAACAGTGGTCTGGAGCTCCCTGACCTGTAGCTCATGCTGAGCTTGGAATGAGTGAGCAGCCCCAGCCCTGCCTTCACACAGAGGACAGGGGCCTCCCCAAGGTCAGCTGGTGCTAGTCAGGAAAAGTTCCAGACCAGCAAGCCTGAAAGGTGGGTGAGACAGGGCTGGGGCACCCAGCACCATTTGAGGTTAGAAAGGGAGCTGCTGCTGAGACCACTATGCTGGTAACGGGAAGTAGGAGAAATGAAAAGGGAGAGGCTTGGAAGGGCCAGATCCTGGAGAGCCAGGTACCCTTTGAGTAGTTTTTCGCCCTGAGGGAGAGGGTTTCAGTAAATACTGATGGGTCTGGTGATACTCCAGACTGGGATATTCAAACGAGTTAACAAATGGGACTAACACAGGTCTCAGCCAATCAGAATAGACTCTAACCCTAACCCTGGAGCAGAACCTCCCCTACTTTCTGACCAGGTATTAACCCTTTAGCTGCTGGTGGAGAGAGCAGGGAAGAAGGCCTAAGGTTGCAAAGAGGGTGCAGGGAGGTTGAGGACAGAGCAGAGGCCTGCAGGTACCTCAGGGACATGTTACCTACTAGCCCTCCTGTACCGGCCACCCTGGCTGGGTGTCCCTATGCCCACACTGGCCGTGGGCGCCCCTTGTCTCCACAGCACTGGCTACAGCACTTGACGTGGGTTTGTCCAATTGGAGCTTCCTGTACATAACCGTCTCACTGTGAGTACCAGCCGCACCCTGCCACCTCCCTTCAGGTTCAAGCTCTCTGTCTATCTAGCAGGCGGTCTGCACACTGGGCGATGGGCCAGCCTCTCCACCATTCTTTGGGACCAGCTCCTCCCTAGCACCCAGCAGCTCTCCGGAAGTCTCCAGCTCTTCTGTAAGCCCAGTGCAGAGGAAGGCTCTGCCTGCCTGCCCGGACAGCAGGGGAAGCCAGGGGACATGGAACAAATAGTCCCAGTCATGTTGGTGGAGGACAGCAGAGGGCCGGTTGCAGAACCCAAGTGGGCTGCACAAGAGTTGACTCTCCTTTGCTTTCTGGCTTCAGAGTGCATTCCCGTGCCCGTACTCTGTCCTTACTTCTCTGCCCTTCCTTTCTGGTGTCAGCCAAGGGCTAAGTGAAGAGTAGCACTCAGCAAGCTCGGTGTCAAACTCAGCGCTTCCCAATGACATCAGAGGCCTCTTAGAGATTCTGCTCATGAAAGGTCACTTGTCAGCACATACACCTCGGGCTGGCCTCTTGTGGTCTCTGTACCCAGCTTGCCCTGCTGCTCTAGGTAGCACTCATTGCCCTCTCCACTCCCCTCCCTACCCCGCCTTTCAGCCCACTGACCTGTGCCCCAGGTTCTTTCCTGGGTGGTGGGTCTGAGCTCTGGGCTCTAACAGTGCACTGGGGGTAATCTGCTTCCAGGTACACAATGACCAAATCCTCAGCTGTGCTGTTCATCTTGATCTTCTCTCTGATCTTCAAGCTGGAGGAGCTGGTAAGGCCCTGCAGCTATCTGTAGTGACTTGTCACTATGTAACAGGAGACAGACCTGGCTCAGTAAGGCCCTTTTTTGAGAAGGAATCTATACACGGGATCATGGCAGAATGCTTAAAAAGAAGGCAGCAGGACGCTGACAAAAGAAGAAAATGTGAGGGTCCGTGTAGGACTGGGTCTCAAGGATACAGGGTCCCTGTTGTGTTTGGCAGTGGCCCTCGTTTGCTAGGCTGGCAGGGGTGGGGTGAGAGAGAAGCACTTGAGGCCTGGGGCAGGCATCAGAAAGCCCCACAGTATTTCAGAACAGGGATGTTGGGGGTGTGCCTGCCAAATGTCATGTCTGCACACATCAACAAGCAAGGACTGTCCAGGACCTCAAGAAGGGATAAAGGGGAGAAGAGTTTCTTGCCCCAGGAGCAGCCAAGATGGCTGCTGACCCCCATACTTCAGGTATGATGAACTCTTGTGCCTCGAGCCTTAGTGAGCTGTACCTGGTCTCCTCCCCAGCGTGCAGCACTGGTCCTGGTGGTCCTCCTCATTGCCGGGGGCCTCTTCATGTTCACATACAAGTCCACGCAGTTCAATGTGGAGGGCTTCGCCTTGGTGCTGGGGGCCTCGTTCATTGGTGGCATTCGCTGGACCCTCACCCAGATGCTCCTGCAGAAGGCTGAGCTGGGTGAGCACATGGGAGGGCTGGGCTCAGGCAGTGTGGAGGCTGTGCAGGAGCAGGCCAGGCCTGACGGTGCCTCTGTGTCCCATGCTGCAGGCCTCCAGAACCCCATTGACACCATGTTCCACCTGCAGCCACTCATGTTTCTGGGGCTCTTCCCTCTCTTTGCTGTATTTGAAGGTACGTTGGATTGTCCACCTCAGGGCCCTTCAGCACAACAAATCCCAAATCCCTGCTCTGAGCCCAGCACAGTACTAACCATAGCGGTCACCAACATCAAAGACACAGCCCCTCTCCCAGCAGCCCTAGTTTGAGCTGGACAGACATGTAGACAAAACGAGTAGAATCTCATGTGATAAGTGGCATGTTATGCATAAAACAAGGGACAAAAATGACAAACACGCACAGAACCCCAGAAGTGCCCCAGGATTGTTTTAATCATTTCAAACACATGGGTTTATCTAATCCTCCCCCAAACCAGATATGGAACGCAGTTTATTGTCACCATGTTACAGGAGAAAGAAACTGAGGCAGATAACTGAGAAAGACAACTCGCCCTAGGTCCCATAACTCGTGAATAAGCCAGACTGGCAGCCTGGCTCCAAGTAGTTAAGCCATGCTCACCTCAGAGAGGGGGCAGGGTGGGGAAGTGAGCAGGTCACAAAAGCCTCCCATCCCAGATCACGTGTTTCTGAGGATAAGTGGGATGGAGTTGGGCCGCCAGGTCCAGGACATCCTAGGGAGTGGGACTTGTCGTCGTTCCTTCCTGACACCTTCCAGAAAAGAGGTGAGGTGGGGAGATTTGTACAGGCTGGGCCGAACATCACCACTTTCCTTCCTTTGGTGTTTTGGGATTAGTCTTTGTCCCTGCCTATTTATTCTTCCTACCAGAATCCCAACTGTCCTCAGGGTCATTACAGAAAATTCCATCCCACATCCATTTAAGTTCCAAGCAGTGAAGCGTCTCCAACCTCCCTGAGAAAATCATTCTGTGGCCCCATTGTCCAAGAAGCTTCTGTTCAGAGCCTCATGTTATTTTAAAAATTTTTCCATTCCTTCATTATGCCCCCTTGTACCAAACACCAGGCTCACCCCCTCCCCAGGCATCTGCTCCATCTCCGTCTCCACAAACCTCCGAAAGCCCCTGGTTGTCACCACTTAGCAGAGCTGCATGGATTTAGCTCCTTCAATCTTTTCTGGTAAATTAATCCCCCAAGCGCCTTCATTACTTATGTTGCTCTTCCCCAAATTCCCTTCCATTTGCCAACGCCTTTGCAGTACTGCTGAGCCCAGCACCAAGCAAGATGTCCTACATTGTGAGGCTGCTGAGGAAGGGGGGTAGTCACTTTCATAAGTGCTTCCCTCCAAAAAATCCCAGAGTCTTCTTCAACTCCCTGTTCATTCTCACAGCTATCTTTGTTGTGCCCAATGCAGGGCCACCTTCATCCCCTGCTCACTCACCCTGGGACCTTGCTAGGGGAGGGCCTACGACTCCTGACAGTACTGGTGTGGTGTGGTACGCTTTCTGGAGCAAGGGGCCATGGCTTTTGTCACAATTTTACGTGTGTGTGTGAGAAATGTTCATGCTTATTAGAGCGCCACCAATCTAGTCCCAGACCTGTTATTTTATCAGCGGAGAACCAAGGTCCAGAATGAGGACCTCTCTGCCCATGTCCCATAGTTTTGCACTAACAAGACCTGGATTTGGGTTGGGCTTTGGCTCAGTGGCACAGTACTTGCCTCACATGTATGAGGCTTTGGGTTCCATCCCCAGCGCCCCAAAGTGTATAAATACACCCTCCTGTGCAGGGCAGCCACCAGCTTCCCCGGGTCTCAGGCCATCTATGTGAGACTATTTTAACCTCTCCTTTCTCTGTCCCAGACAGCCAGCAGGTACTCAGCAAGTCCCCACTGATAGCTCAGCTGGCTAAGGGCGGGCAGCCAAGGTGGCCCTAGAACCTGGCCTCCCACACTTTCTCCCCATTGCTTTCAGGTCTCCATTTGTCCACATCTGAGAAAATCTTCCGTTTCCAGGACACAGGGCTGCTCCTGCGGGTACTCGGGAGCCTCTTCCTTGGTGGGATTCTTGCCTTTGGTTTGGGCTTCTCTGAGTTCCTTCTGGTCTCCAGAACCTCCAGCCTTACTCTCTCCATCGCTGGCATCTTTAAGGTACTTACTGGGAGATGACCCCAGCCTGTCCTAGAGGGGAGCCCCTAGGGCTTCTCTCTGGCAGGTTCTGTCCCAGCTCCTGCACCCTGAGCCCTTTGGAGAAGAAATGGAAGTACCCATTTAGGTGATGGTACTGTTCTTGCCCCTCCTCTTTCCATCATCCCCGTGGCCCCCGGGGGTGGCCTGATTGTCCCCACTGCAGAGGTGGGGAAATGGACCTGAAAAGGCACTCCTGCCCATGCATGCACAGCTAGGGATCCAGAGGCAGGTCTGATGCCACTAGGCCTGGGGTGCGTTTACATTTTACCTTGAGTGCCAGTTCTGTTATGTAGCAGTTGCCTGGAGCCAAGGTTGAGAAACCTCCAGACTGATGAGTAAAGAGTTCAGTGATTAGGACTGGGGTTGTGGTTCAGTGGTGCAGCACTTGCCTAGCCTGTGCAAAGCCCTGAGTTTCATCCCCAGCATGCATAAACCAAACAAGAGCCCATGGTTGATTGGCAGCATCTGCATGGGCGTGGCTAGCGATGGTCACATCATGCGTGGGTGTCATGTGTTACTGTCTTGCCTTTATTGCTACTTTGTACTCTCCCCTTCCCTATGCCCCCTACTCCCTTTTTACTTCTCCCTGCCCAACCATTTCTCCAGGCCCAGGGCCTTGGAGGGGGTTTCTCTTTGGCCAGCAGATGCCCACCCTGCCTAAAACCAGAAATGTAGGTCTCAGGGGTCTCCATGGCATAAGTCATGGTCCTCAGAATGGATTGTCTCACCAGGCCTGCTTGCAGTCACTGTTTCTGACAACCCCCGGACAGTGTTCTCAGAGCCAATGTGATGCTGCCCATTAGTGGGTACGCTGTGCCTGTGGGTGTGAGAGCTGCCAACTATGCCCTAGCCCTGTTCTGGGTTGCCTCTCTTGTTTCTGGCAGAATGTGGATAGCACTGGCAGGGTGGCATCTCAGTCAGTCACAGGGGGGAGGCAAGCCTTTTCCTCCTGACCTCTTTGCCCTGCTGACTGGGCTTTCCTTGTGTCCTTGCTGAAGAGCCAGCTCCTGCTAACCACGCGCTTCCCACTTCTCTGTCTGCAGGAGGTCTGCACCCTGCTGCTGGCAGCTCACCTGCTAGGTGATCAGATCAGCCTTCTGAACTGGCTGGGTTTTGCCCTCTGCCTCTCTGGAATATCCCTGCACGTTGCCCTAAAAGCCCTACGCTCCAGAGGTACAGAGCCCTTTGAGAATCTCAGCTTTCTAGGATCAACCTTCCCAGCCCCCACCCTGCCAGAGGAGCTAGGTGGCTTCTCTAAAGCAGTCATAGCTCGGTGGCTCTCTGCACAGCCTGGCTGCTGTCTACTCAGGAAGTGCACCTGGTGGTACAGCACTAGCACTGGGAGGATACAGGGTCATCTGCAGAGGGTCTGGGGGCCTGGATGCATGCACAGATCAGTGGGGCAAGCCACTAGCACCATTATTGGGTTGGTAACTGTGGTCTCTGTTCCAAGGTGATGGTGGCCCTAAACCCCTGAAGGGCTTGGGCTCCAACCCGGACCTGGAGCTGCTGCTCCAGAGCAGCCAGCAGGAGGACCAGGACAATGAGGAGGAAGAGTACTTTGTGGCCCAGGGGCAGCAGTGACCAGCCCCAGGACCAACTTGCAGCCAGCTCACTGCAGCTCAGGGCCTGTGTGGCTGGTCACAGCAGTTGGGAGCAGTGGCCTAGAAGTCACCTAGCAGGACCCTACAGTGGGGCTAGGACAGGGGCTTATGGCTTCTACCTTCCCTTCAGAGGTTTTTTAAGTGCTGAGCATCAGGCCGGCCTCCCACCTGACCAGGGCTGGGCCCGCGGTCAAGATCCTGAGAGCGAAGGGAGTGCACAGGTTCTTCCGCTTCTGGCCTGGCTCTGAGAGCCAAGGTGGAATTCAGAGGCAGAGTTGCCTCCAGAGGGACTGACTTTGGACTGCAGGGCAGTTGAAATGGACATGGAGAGGCTGGGACCTCATCACCTGGACAGCATCTTTCTCAGCACATCTATTTATAGTTTGGAAATAAATGGTTTTACGGTCCACTGGCCACTCATATTGCCTGGAGGCTTGAGGGCAGGAAGAGCCCTGGGGGCCTGGCTTCCTGCAGCTCTCAGAATTCTGTTTGAACCCCAGTACCCCCACCTTGGTCCCCCTCCCCCCCCCACAGGCAGAAAATAAATGAGTATTTGCTGAGTACCATATTCTGAAGACTACAGTTTTCAGTCTAGATTTGAATCTTGGCTCTGCCACTTACTTGTTGTATGACCTTAAGCAAATTACTTAACCTCTGTACCAAGGTTGTTTTTTTTATTTATGAAATGAGGATATCTGTCACAGAGTCTGAAAACTTACCAATATTGGTAGCAGATTAGATGTTATACGGTTATTTTTTTAAATACTTTTTAACAGCCAAGAGACCAAGACAGGGAAGGTAAACAGCCATCATGGCAAGGATTCCCAGCCAGAGCTGTGTCCCCATGTGTATCCATGTGCCACCTTCTGGGAGGGTCCCTGGATGTGGACCCTTGGCTTTCCCATCTTGGACAAGTTCCACCACTTCTCCAGGCTGTAGATGGGGGCAGGGGACAAAACAGGCCCTGTGTGCTGTGCCCCAATCATGGAGGGCTCCTGTAAGCTGGCTCCCTCAGCCTGGTGGGGACAAAGCTCCCTGCACAAGTGCTTCTGGTGTTCACAGCAGGTGGCGCCATTGACCTACACTGCAGCTCCAGCCCAGCTTGGCTGCCACCACTGTCCAAACCCAAGCAGAAAGAGGGATCCCTGGAGGAGGGCAGCAGATTCCACAGTGAGGATCAGGATGGAGCTGGAGTAGATAGATCTCAGGAGAGCGGAGATGCTGGAAGTCTCCTTACGCTAGGAGAACCGTACTTCAGAACCCACTCTGCAAACTTCTGCAAAGGAACTGATAGTAAATATTTTTGGTTTGGGGACCATATGGTATCTGTCACACCTTCTTAACTCTGCTGTTGTAGCATGAAAGAGGCCATGGACGATATGGAAACAAAAAGGCGTGGTTGTGTCTCAAACCTGATTTACAGAAGTGGAGTCAAGGAGACAGAACTGAATCAGCCTCCGGTCCAGATTCCCTGCTGCCTCTGCCCCTTTGGGTTCTGCAAGCAGGGATGCCAGGATTAAAGAAAGCTTGTGTTCCAGTTGGGTGACATGATATGGGGAGAGCGGGCAGGAAGAGGCTAGGGGATGGGGGAAAGCACAGGACACAGCAGCCTGCTGGCTCAGGTGGATGAGTGCTTCCTGTCTGCTCATCACCACCCCCTCTCCCAGGCGCACAGAGCTGTGCTGCTGTCTGTTGCCGTAATTACAGGGTGCAGAGCAGGGGCCCTCATGGCACACGTGTTGGGTTCAATGACAGCTCTTCACTTAGCAGCAATTACCAGCCAGGCCTACAAGAGGGCTCCCTCTCCTCCCCCATGAGCCCACCCAGTTGTTGACCTCCGAGACCAGACAGCATCTACCCTGGGCTCTGAGCCCTTCAACCACCCATGCTGTCTGCAGCCACTGCATCTGGGGGGGGGAGGGCTGCAGCGTCACCATGGCAACTCAGTGCGTGCACAGGTTGAAGGAAGCTGAGGATATGACTAGTCTCTCCAAGGCCGTGGTGTCTGTCCCCGGCTCCTGGGCTTCTGCAGAAGGGGGGTCGGGAGCAGGAGCTGACCTGCAGGTGCAAGTTTTAAGTACTTACATACCCACTGTCTCTCCCAGAAGTCCACAGTAGGAGGAAGGTTAATGCCCCCAATAAACTAGGACGTTTGCAGTTGGTGTTGTGGGGATAAGAACGAGCTGGCCTACATGCCTCTTCATTCTGGTACCTGGCTGCCTCGGGGGCTTGGGGGATCATCTCCATTTGTGTCTGCTTCACGCTGTTCTGAAAACTCCAGCAGCTGGAGAGTGGTTACATGGCCCCAGAAGGATCCCCTGTGATACATGCTGCAGCTTCTGTATCATGGGCTAGCGAAGGACTTAGTGGGTCCCCAATTTGTAGTACAGAGAACCAAGGATGGGAACTCCCAGATCATCCATTTAGGGTGTCAGCATTCAGGGGTTGCTGGCCACATGACAGACACTGCTGGAGTTGGAGACAGTTGTTCTTGGAGCCACCCTTCCAGCTAAGAGAAGAGAGAAGCAGGGAGTGGGCAGGGGGAAGAAGGACTTCAGAAGGGACCCCTTGCCTTATACATGGGTTAGTTCATTCCTAGTGGCCCAGTGCAGTAGGAAGCGGTGTGCCTAATTTCATGGCTAGGGAAACTGAGCTCACAGAGCCAAGCATAACTGGCTGAGAATACAGCCTTGGACCTAACCGAGACACGCTTCTCTCTGCACTGCGATCTACTGTGTGGTCTTGGGCACGTTGCTGATCCCCTCGGTGCCTGTCTCATCTGTAAAGAAAGAATAATCTAGCTCCTATTGAGCAGCTGTGGGGATGAACTAACGTGTGTGAAGCAGCTGGCATGGTGGTGCAATGGCACATAGCCATTAGCTCTCAGTGTCAGGATATCACATAACCTGCCCCGTGACAAAGCAAGGGAAAGGAGCAGCCAACATTAGAGCCCCAGCCTTCTCAGGTCCCCTTGCTACAAGCCTAGCACAGAATGGCCACCTAATAGATGTTTGCTCTGTGAAGGAATTTCCAATAGTAGAAAGCAAAGTGGATTTTACAGGTTCTAACTTTGAAATGATTTGCACCAGCCTCACCACCAGCCAAGCCAGCCAGCCTCTGGCCTCCCAGGCTTCCCAGCCAGCCTGGTCCTGACCGCACTGCCCAGCCCCTTCCCCCAGCTTCAGAGTAACCAATGAGCTTGACTTCTGTTCCCATGGTTATTTACAGTTTCGTTGGCAACTAGTACATTTCCCTGATTCAGGCCCCCTACTCCCAGGCCCGCTGGCTTCTGCTGGCAGAGTCTTCTTTTCCTCCTGTTGTCTCTTGAGAATGCTCCTGCTGGGGACAACAGAGGGATAGGACAGAAGCCCAGAAAAAAAATTGCATTCAATAAATGTTTCCGAAACATCTATGATGTGAAAACATGCTTGCTTAGTGCTCGCTGCTGGATGTGATAGAAGTCATTAAAACCCTGTCCCTGTCCTCAAGGAACTTCTGGACAAAAAGCTTTTGTTTTTGTTCGGTTTTGGCACCACTGGAGTTTGAACTCGGATCCTCACAATTGCTAGACAAGTGTTCTACCACCTGAGCCCCTCCTCAACCCTTTCTTTGTGATATTTTTCTTTTTCCAAGATAAAAGTCTCCTAAACTATGTGCCCTGGGCTGATTTCGAACATCAATCCTCCTGATCTCTGCCTCCTGAGTAGCTAGGATGACAGGCATGAGCCACGGGCACCCAGCTTTGCAAGGCTTTTTAACCCAGTGGGCTCCCCAGAAAGCAGACTGAGAAATTAGAGCCAGGGATGAAAGTGGTCTTGGGAGAAACACCTGTGGATGGGAGTAAACCTATGAATTTGGCAGAGAGTAACTGCCTCAAGGCAGTCATGAGGCCTCGTCCACCTGCCGGGCACTGGAGCTGAGGTGGTCCCTCAGAGTTATCCTGAGATGGGGTGAAGGCTCAGGACTTTCCACCCTGATGTTGGCCTGCCCTCGGAAGGTGGCTTGACTTTGGGTGGAGCAGGTTTTTTTAATCCCCACTTGGGTTGATGGCCGTGTTCCCAGCAACTGGTGGGTAGGTCTTTCATGCCAAAGGGAGGTCTGAGCACAGCATCTACCCTACTCAGGACCACAGCCTGACTCCAAGGATGGCCAGGGATCCCTGAAGAGGAAAGTAACATGTGGCATATTTGTGCATACGTGCATTTTTCTGGGGTCCTTGACTCCCAAAAGATTGAGAGCTGCTGGTCTAGGGAAAGCTAGACTTGTCTGGAACTTCTGTAGAATGAGAGCTGCACACTGTAGATGTTCAATAAATATGAAAGGATGGGTGAGTGGGTAGATAGGTACATGGGTGGTGGATAGGCTGTTGGAGGGTCGTGGGTGGGTGGATGGATGTGTGGGTGGATAGGTCGGTGGGTGGGTGGGTGGGTGGGTGGATGGATGGATGGGCAGATCAAAGATGAGTGAGTGGGATGAGTAGATACCATAATAGAAGAAAGTCTGGGAGGCACAGAAGAGGGAGTAACCAGTTCTGTCTGGGTCAAAGGAGAGCAAAGACTTCCAGGAAGAGTCAAACCTTTTGAACTGAGTCTTGAGGACTAAATAGGGGTTTGCTAAGGAGACAAAAGAAGAAAGGCTATCACGCAGAGGAAAGAGAAGGCTCAAAGGCACTGAGGTGTGGAGGAGTGTGAGGATGGCAGTAAGAATAAGTTCACCAAGGCTGGCCAGAGGTGCCCCAGGGGAAGGGGGGGTGCTACTGTCCTGCATTTGAAGAGCCCTCAGAAGTATCCAGATGGGGCTTATTCCACCAGCTTCCTTGAATAGCAGTATCTGCTCTTCACATACACTACTTACTACATGCCTGTGTGTTAGGTTAGGGATGGGGAGGAGGACAGTCCTAAAGACAATTCCAGACAAATGAGAAATGCTGGTTCTTTACTCATCCTTTCCCATCTGGATTTTCTTTAGCCCTGCAGTCCACCCTGGAAGTGGCTGTTATTAGCAGCTCCACCTTCCAGAAAACAGGCTCAGAGAGGCCAAGCGACTTGCCCAAGGTCACTCACCTCATTAGCCACCAAGCAGGGAGCCCTCCCACCTGGGGCTCACCCCTCCCAGCACCCCACCTTTTCCGCTCCACTGCTTAGCCCCCCTCTGGTAGAGATGGCATTTGGTCTTATTACCCTCCCACCCTCCTAGGATTAGGTCCCTCCGATTGGGGACAGAAATAATGACCCTCTGCAGGGGGCCAAGGGTCTAGCTGGGCGGCATCCTGCTGGTGATATTTTGCCCTGGGAGGAATCCCCCACTGAGCCCTGCCTCCTGTCCTGTTCCTGGGCTGCCCTATGAATTAAACATGCCTCTGTGGTTAACTCAGTAATGCTTTTATTAATAGTTAATTACTCAACACGCACTGGGGAAATGAGACTCACTCAGGCCTCGTAAATTAAGGCAGTGATCGCGTGAAAGAAGCCAATGGGAGTTCATTACCCTGCTCCTTCCCTTGCTGTGCCTCTG